TTTTGATTGGTCAAACACTTCGAGTGTGTTTCAGAAATGTTGCGCTCCTTACCATACCATTTCAACTTACTACTGAAGCAAATCGATCAGGTCTTGAATCTTTATTATGTAAATGCCTTGGGTCAGAATTGTTTAAATAAGTAATGTTGTAACGTTTACATTCCAGAAGAAAACTCAAGAATATACAATCTAGCCATTTTAGAGAGTTTAGAAACACTTACTGATATACAGTAGAGAAAAAAAAAGTGAATTATCGCCATGCTGTAATTACTTAACGATTCTGAACTGTAAAAGGCCTTCACATGTATGTAGAACTTGTAATTACAATTTGTAAAGTCATCATTTTCTGAGAGCTATGACTTGTATCACCTGGTCTCGCGTAGCCAGACCTGTAGACTGACGGCAGAAAGTACTCGATCACAGATTTTCTTGGCCAAGGAGCACCAAAGAGGATGTTTGACTGACATGTAACGTCAAATGACAAATCACACTTCCTTTTGTTCCGCGTCATGTTCAGCGGCGTGACAATATAATGTCGATGTCTCTACAATAAAAGACCAGCATGGATCTAAAAAATTATTCATCGAAGAGCATTGTGCAAGTTAACTGCCACAATGGAGCAGCGAATTTCAAATACTTTTGAAAATCCAGTGTTAAGTTGATCCTGATAAGCGCTCATTGTCAAGGTTGTAAACACACCAGGGATTTTGGCATCACAACAGTTGTTTCCAGGCGGACCGATAAAGAACACGACACACACGACTCACAGACATCCTGTAGAATTCAACATATCAGATTGCAACTTCGAAACTCCTTTAGTGTTTCCAGAAAAGTGTGCCATATGCATCCGACATTCAGTCAACGGTCCGTGGGCGTGACGTCTGAGACTATGTACCACCTGACCACTGGAGATTATAAGTGTGTTCGACTTGAAGAGGTGCTGTGCAGACCGATTGGTGTATGACATCAAAGTACCGATTCGAAAGCATGCTTTATTCACGGTAACTATGACATGGTGTGAACACAGCATAACTGCCTTTGGAGTGGACTTTGTGCTTTGTAACTTTGCAGACCTTTTTCATGCTCAAATAGCAACATTACACTCTAAAGACACACTAAAGTACATTTTTAAATGTAAAAAATCATAATAGGACCATTTAAAGGTGGGGTAGGTAGAAATTTTCTAAAAAAAAAAAAACAAAAAAAAAAAACCTTTTTCCCTAATTTGTTTAAACTGTCTGTATATACCAATACATAATTAAAATGTAAGTACTCTGAAAAAGAAAGTATACAAATCGAGTGTCTGTGGTCCTCTCAGTGCTGCAATAAACACAGCTCATTATTTCATTCACTCCCACCCCCTCCCGCCTGGGATTCTTACAAAGCCACGCCCCCAAAACACATGAACGCATGCTGCCCCGCGCTCAGCTGGAGGATGCATTTCCCAGTGCCTTTCATAAAGAGAGGAACAGTTCATAGTGACATCATGTCAGAATCACATGTAGTAAAATGCCTAACTGTATCATTATTAATATAAACAACTAACATGGCTGGTAGTACTCACTATCAAGCTAGCATATCGATACTGGTAAAGTTTAAAATATATTGAGTTTGATTCGGTAATAAGCTAGTAACATAAAAACTAAAAACAGATTGCATTCATACACGTTTTCCCGTTACCATCAGTTACATTGTCATGAAGGTGAATTTCGTGTAGGACTCGTAACATATACGGTGTTTTACATGTAAGAGCTTCCACGAAAGCACTGTTGGGGTCACTTTTCAGCCCCTGGTTGTCAGTTGTCGCCACGGCTGGAAAGCTCTGCCGATATTGACTCTCGTCTGACTTTTTGCTTTATCCTAAGGCTTTTTGGTCATAGCCTTTTCAAATACTGTCTTCCTTTTCTGCCTGGTTTTCCATCGCTGACTGCATATGAAGGTAACTGGGAATTTTGACTGCTCTTTCTCTGCCATAATTGTTATTCTTCCTAGCCGTGCCTCTTCCACTCCTCGAACAAACGTGTGCGCGCATGTGTATCGGTTCGAGGGGCTCGAGGTCGTTATATCATCTTGAATCAGTCGGCCCATTCTCCTCTGACTTCTAGCATCAACAAGGCATTTTCACCCACAGGACTGCTGCATACTGGATGTTTTTCCCTTTTCACACCATTTTTTGTAAACCCTAGAAATGGTTGTGTCTGAAAATCCCAGTAACTCAGCAGATTGTGAAATACTCAGACCGGCCCGTCTGGCACCAACAACCATGCCACACTCAAAACTGCTTAAATCACCTCTCTTTCCCATTCTGACATTCAGTTTGGAGTTCAGGAGATTGTCTTGACCAGGACCACACCCCTACATGCATTAAAGAAACTGCCATGTGATTGGTTGATTAGATAAATGCATGAAAGAGAATTTGAACAGGTGTATATATATATATATATATACATACATTTATTTATTTTTTCATTTTTCATTTTCATTTCAGGGGAGACTTGCTGGAAAATGAATGTTTAGCACCTAGAGAGAGAGAGAGAGAGCAGCATAATTTTTGTCATATTTGTCTGTCTTTCTGCAATGGAGGCATTTTTGCATGGCTGACACCGCCGTCGGTTTAGGCAAATGTGAAGCGCTTTGGTGGCCATTAGGTCTATGAAGGCGCTATATAAATGCAGTCCATTTGTATGCTATTGCTAACACAATAAAACTTGCGCTTCTTTGAGAAAAAAATGGAATGTTTGGCATTGAATAAACAGAAAAGGCGCATTCATAACTCGCAACCCTTCATTAAATAATACGTTTTCAGTCAAAGTCCTCCTTCAGACGTCTTGTGAAAATTAATTATCTTACCTTATATGATTTGCAAAATCTTGCAAATCCAAAACTGTGTAGGATGACTTTTATACATTTGCATTGCACTGATTAAAAAAAAACAAAAAAAAACTTCATGACAGGATATTTTTTGGCATAAATATCCAGTGCATGTCAGGGTGTATGCTAAGATTTAATGAATTGTGACAAGTGTCACTTTGCAGCAATATGGGCAGCTCAGGGTTTTGGCTCGTGCGCCCTGCAAAATGTGGCTTCATTGGCACCATGTGAAAAGAAGCCGCAGCCATCGATTCATCCTGTGTCACTAATCCTCTCAATGAAAATTCTGTTTCATTCGGGCTGGTTTCGCTCTGACAGGCGTGAATCCACCCCAATTTACCCTCTATGTGGGGTTTCCCTGAATGCACCCACCCCACGCTGGTTTGATCTCAGCCCGCGTCTTCGCCTCAATGAGGCGCTTCATTAACTTTAATATGTGAAGTGTGCCAAGACCTACCCAGCCAAAACACGGGCAGGGTATGAATAGCCCCCTCCTTGAGCAAACTAAATCTTCTTTTGTTGCTCTTGAATATTGCAGTACATGGAGTGTGTAGTGTGTGTGTTCTCTGCGTAATTGGATTAGAGTTATTGCTGTAGATGTCGCCTGTCAATTAAACGTTTATGAACTGCATTTCATTGTCTGAGAATATTTCATGTACAATGAGCAGATTATACACTATGAACAGACAAAGGCTTTAAAAGCATGCATTGCAAAAGTCATTGTAAACAATAACCAAGTGTAAACTTATTGTGAGCTAGCTATTTAAAGTAAGGAGTAATAGAATTAAACAATTTGTTTTATTTGTTTGGAGCTGATTGTAAATGTGTTTTGTTAGCATCATTGCTCTTGTAATTCCAGTTGTGATTGTAAAATGCATGAATTTTATTTAGTTTCATGCAAAATATTAAAAGCAATTGTCATTTAAAGATACAACTGTTGATTTTATATACAATACATTTTAGGGCTATGCAAAGATTAATTGCGCTTAATCACATCCAAAATAAAAGTTTGTGTTATATAATATAGTATTATTTATTTAATAATATTTAATTATTTTCACGCACAACCATTTACAAAGAATGGTGTGAAAAAGGAAAAACATCCAGTATGCGGCAGTCCTGTGGACGAAAATCCCTTGTTGATGCTAGAGGTCAGAGGAGAATGGGCCGACTGATTCAAGCTGATAGAAGAGCAACTTTGACTGAAATATCAACTTGTTACAAGCGAGGTATGCAGCAAAGCATTTGTGAAGCCACAACACGCACGACCTTGAAGCGGATGGGCTAGAACATCAGAAGACCCCACCGGATATCACTCATCTCCACTACAAATAGGAAAAAGAGGCTATAATTTGCAAAGCTCACCAAAATTGGACAGTTGAAGACTGGAAAAATGTTGCCTGGTCTGATGAGTCTCGATTTCTGTTGCGACATTCAGATAATTTGGCGTAAACAGAATGAGAACATGGATCTATCATGCCTTGTTAGCACTGTGCAGGCTGGTGGTGGTGGTGTAATGGTGTGGGGGATGTTTTCTTTGCATACTTTAGGACCCTTAGTGCCAATTGGGCATCGTTTAAATGCCACGGCCTACCTGTGGATTGTTTCTGACCATGTCCATTCCTTGGCCACCATGTACCCATCCTCTGATGGCTACTTCCAGCAGGATAATGCACCATTTCGTAAGATAAAATAAATAAAATAATAATTTTAAGTTTTAAAATCGTAATCTCAGTTTTATATGTATTATGTTTTATGTGTTGTGTATGTGTGTGTGTGTGTGTTGTGAAAAAAAAAGCAAGTTTAATTTGTTATTTCAGTTTTGAAGAATGCACTAACACTCTAAAATGTGTAAATCTAAATAAAATGAGGTGCGTTTGTTTATTGATATTTGTGTAGCAGTTGAGCAGCAGTTATCTGCTTACCTCAGTGTCAAGAGGCCCGTTAAAGATTACTCACACGAATCTAATCCACTTTTGATGAACTGGGTTAATAGACTCCCTGTGGTCATTATCAAAGAGACTCATTTCTATTCATTTCTCAGCACACACGACCCTCACACACCCGCCTCTCCTCAATAAATACAGCTCCCCAGTGCTCTGGAGACAGTTCATCCTCTAGCGTTCAGCATGCCCCGTCCAGACGGCTCTTACGCGCAGCTCATTTGGAAAGAGGCAGAGAAAGCCCGCTCTGACCCCTATCCCGAAACAGTTGGCTGGAGGGAGGAGAGGGATCAGGGCAGGGAGAGCTGTGACCCGTGCCCTCTCGTCCAACTCCGGCTCTCCGGACTCTCATATCCCGGCGAAGACCAGAGCGCGATCGCCCGAGCCCGGAGACGTCGCAGACTGGCTGCTAATGCCCGTGAGAGGAGGAGGATGCTGGGCTTGAATGTGGCATTCGACCGCCTGAGGAGCGTCATTCCTAACGTGGAGAGCGACAGGAAGCTTTCCAAGTCTGAGACACTTCAGATGGCTCAGATCTACATCAGTACTCTGAGCGAGCTGCTGGAGGAAAGAGACTGCGACCCGGAATTCAGTTACCCAGAGTTAACCATGGCCGCGCAGGATCAGGTCATTGTGAAGGGTTCAACGGACACTGAAGAGACCAAACCAGAGCAGAAAACGGTTCCTGCTTGTAGGATAAGACCACATGCTGGGAATCTCAGATGGTCCACTTGCTATGACCCCAAAACACCAGAACTCACACTGGACACTCACTATCTGGAGAGGAGCAATGGAGCAAAATAACATTCTCAGTGTTTTTTATTTGCATTAAACATTCTTGTGTGTTGGAGATTTTGTAGTAAAATATACATATTCTGTAATTATTGATATATTTCTCCTTTTATGTTAAACAAATAAATATTTTCAGAGGAAAAAGTTTGTCTTATGCTCTTGAGTTCACAAAACATTTGTTAAATGATAGATTTCTGACTAGTAGTAATAATGATATTTTGCCTAATCGTAAAATGCCAATCAGACACCAAAAACGACACGTAAAAAGTACTGAAAGTAGCAATTTTTATTTGCGTTAAAATTATGTACAAGTAACCAAAGACATTATTTTGAAATTGGTACAAATTTCATGTTCCTGCAGTTGGCTTTTCGATAACGCTTACCTCAAAGAACACAACTGAGAAAAATGCAGTATAAAATAAAACAATTGAATTCAGAAAAGTAGTCTATCTAGTTCTCCAACAGCCAATATTTACACAAATATTTACAGTTCAGGTTGCTTCATTCAGCCCCCCCCCCATATTTCGACACTGACCACCTACAAAATACTCAACTCATAATGTTTTGTGTAACAGAGTCAAATTAAAAACAGTTAAGCAGTGAGAGGGGAACAAATGACCCAAGATTTGCTTTTGCCAAGCTGTGTGCATTGAAAACAAAGTTATTTCAGTCTACGCCCATTAGAGGGGTGACAATGGAAGCAAAAAGTCTTGAGCATCTGACATTAAAATGAGCCTCCGTAAAGCTTACTATTGAGGGTGATCACTTGAGAGGCGAACAAACAATGGAGAGCTTCAGAAAACACAAACTTGTGAAGACGAGAATGGTTTGGGTCAAAATTGGACTGCCTTTATCAAAGAGACGTCAAGCGCTTAAAAAAAATAATAAACAATCAGTCATTCATAAACAAGGGACAAATTCAGCTTTTATGACACAAACTAGTGAAATGTGGGATGAAAGTGTGTTGCGTGGCTCAGTTTAGTTGTTGAGCATCAAGTCTATTGCTAGATGGTAACCAGTGTTCTGTAAAACTGCGTTTAACGTTTATTCTCACAGCAACTTTGGCTCTAAACAAACCACAGTAGCAGCACATGCACAAGAATTTTCACAGAACCTGGGTTACCATGTAGGCATGACCCAAACCCAAATCATCTCTCTCATGGACAATACGATTATGCAGCCAAGCTGTTGTATGATATGAACAAGTTTTACAGTTGATTTTGAGCCTTATAATGTTTGAAAATCAGGGTTAAGTTCACAGTTAATGTTATGGCATTTGGACTATATGGTTATGAGTCACAATTACTAAAACATTCCAAAAACACTTTGTCCCTTTCGTGTCCTTGCGAAATGGAAAGCGATGTAATTTAATCATTTGCAGACCTTTGACACAGCGCTATTGTTTAAATACGAACTTGTGCAACCCAAAAGGAGCACAACCTGAAGTGAAGATTTGAACCAGGAGGGCATGTCTTCACGGCTTTTCAAAGAGGAACAGAATTGCGAATGCTGGTTTGGATTCACCCTCCAATCGGTTGAGCGCTCTTGAATTTACAGACTTGCAAGTGGAATTTAACGGAGGGGAAGACATCCTTTAACAAGTTCTATCAAAGCTACTCTATTTCTGCCAATGAAAACAAACTTTCAAGGCAACTGATCAATAGACGGCAGATTAAGGAGGGTTGTGATGTGAGAAACACTTTTCAATTATGCCGTGACGAAAACATTTGAAGACGAAACAGATGAACAACTTGTGACAAACTCAATCAAAACAGGTCTTTTTAATAGAGTTCCATGTGTGATGTGCTTTAAACTTAATTCTTTACAGTCTGAATGAGGAAGGTACTGATGGGATGATCTCCAGATGTGTCGGGTAGGGCGGGGGTGCGCTGAGGTCTGTGCGTGGAGCTCCATAATAACACTAACAGTGTTCCAGATAATCAATGACCCTGGAGATAGACTTCTGCCCCGTGGTGCCCACATCACACTGTAAAGGACACAAACACACAATTGGTCAGTCGAGTATAACTTTCTTGTTAGTTTTCTCTACTGAATGAAGCAGAACATTAGTATTAATATCACAGTATGCTCACACGTACCTGCCAACATATATTTCTATATTGTTGCATACTTTTTAATGAGTTATTTTTTAATAACTTTTCAATTTACCCACTCAGCCAGTTAACACATATATACATACATACATATATATATATATATTAGGGCTGGGTAATAAATATCGATTTCTCGATATTAATCGATTCTCATTTTTACGAACCGATATCGATTCTTAAATCTCAAGAATCGATTAGTCATCCTGTTTCTTTTGAAAGACTGGATCATTGTATCGCGGCTGCGCGCATCCAAAAAAAATCGCAATAATCTTTGTCCTTTGTTACTATTGATATGAAACAAAGTCTCAATTTTCAAATTCCATCCATTTTCTTTAGAAATTCAAAAACATAAATAGTGTTTTGGCGCTGTGGCGTAAGATCGCTCTGGCGCTGCTCCAAAATAAACATGAATGAGCATCTGAAAGTGTGTTAAAAGATAGAGTACAACTTATCTAAATCCCTATCATGTCACATTGATTCACTCAATCTGCGTTTCAACCGTGGAAAGACGTCAGTTAAACAGCTTGTAATCAATGTCATGTATCGTCATATTTACCTCAGAAAACCCACATAAACTCGTTAGTCCACACTCGTTAGTGTTCTTCAATATTTAATGCATATTTGAATAAATATGGCAAGTTTTTTATGACAGCCACCATTTAAATGTTTATATTTCATATAATCTTCTTATTATAAAAATAAATAAAAGTGTAATTTAAGTGTTTGTATAGCTACAAAACAGTTAATTATTAGCTTCATATTAGGCTAATGAAGCCTAGTAGGCTACAACTAGACTATATATATATATATATATATATATATATATAGACCATAGTTTACAGCATTTAAGAGATTTGATTCCCTTGAGAAAAATTGCCATTTATTGTAACTGATATCCAAAATAATCGATATTGAATCGAATCGTAATCGAAATCGAATCGAATTGCAAGCTTGTGAATCGAAATCGAATCGTGAAATTTGTCTCAATACCCAGCCCTAATATATATATATATATATATATATATATATGAAGAGCTCTTTTCCAAAACGCTATAAATCCATTTCAATAGTTTTCAGGAAAACTAAATTTTTTACCTAGACCCACACATTTTGTGAATATTCAAATTATCCTGTTTAAATGTTTTATTGGTTCAGTCTGAACATTTTGAACAATAATTATTAAATCAAACAACAATATTGTTAATGATAATTTAAAAGTTAATTTTATTTTTTTCCAAAACGCTATAAATCCATCCATTTATTGTATCATTTTTAGTAAAGTCATTTTTAGTAAAGAGTCAAACCTCAAACAAATAGTACCAATTTCAACATATGCATGAAAAAAAACGAATTATTAAAAATGATCAATATATGATAACGATATTCAAAAAAGGGATGGGCACCCCTCCAGCACATGCACACACACACACAGGCTACATAACATGTGAGCAAAGCGGAGCAGCATGACGCTTAAATACAAGTAAAAAAAATAAAATAAAATAAAAAAATAAACATAAAATATACGTTTCACATTTGTTTTTAATAATATTACATTACTTATTTTTATCATTTCATCTATGTTGAGTAGGCTATGAAAAGGGAACCGCATGAGATGAGTAAGATAGGATCAAAATTCAAAAGCTGCCCAATATCGGAAAATATTTGGAGTGCGTCAGACATGATTTTGACCACTTATTAAGTTTTGTTTTGTAGAAAGCTTGTAAATTTCGTTTCATATAAATTGTATCTTCATTTTAATAAATGTTTCATCGACAAATTGACTGGATTAATACATTAGAAGTAAATATCAGACAATATAATCAGGACACAGAGGCGCGCAGGTGAACCGGAGCGCGTCTCATAATATGAACCGAAACACCGCGATGCTTGCCTCACACAGGCCTGAGAACTAAGCTACAGAAAGCTTTAAATATCTACTTTTAAACAAAACAATTAAAAACTAAAATAAATTGGCAACTCTCTGCGTATGTAGGCTAATTCGAAGTATGCGTTTCTATAGGCCTATGCACGTTCACTGCGAAGATGGCGAGTAAGCATCATCAACTTTATCTTTGTTGCTGACACTGACAGAAAACACTAGTTTATTAATAAACAATTCAAATGTTTCATGCATAATCATTACTTTTTGCCGGTTCTTTGTGGCAAGCTTTGTGCATAGGCCTACGTTGAAATGCGGAATAGGCAATTAAAAACGCTCATATGGTTTCTCTCCCATTTAATTAAATCAATATATGTGATTACTGATAATACAAATGGCTTAAATTATCTACTACTAGTCGACTAGAAAACTAGGACTCATTTTGAGGAATAAATGAACATAATAAACCTCTGTTCAGAGTGCCGCCGTGCTGGATTGTGTAGAGCGCTCATTGAATTTGAGGATTTATCGTGTTTAGGCTAAAAACAGGGCTGGCGCTTATCGCGGCTTGGAAAGAAACTGTATCTTGCAGTACATTTTAAACAAGGAAATATAGCGATTTGGCATGAAACGTTGATGGAGCAGTAAAAGGGTTCTGTCCACAGCAGAATGACATGACAAACTCATTTTTTTTAAAAATGGTGTTTATCGCTTTTTGGAAAAGAGCTCTTCATATATACACATACATATACACACACATTAGTCGTTTAGATTAGTCAACCAATCAAAAAATTAGTTGAAAGATTAGTCGTAAGAAAATTAGTCGTTAGTGGCAACACTAATTATGATTTCAAAATCATACAATAGAGCATTGGCATTTTTGACCTTCTGGTCCCACTGTCCAAAAGTCTTTGGTTAAATGCCTGAAAATGGTACTACTAAAGAGTCTGTCATGGAAACTAAACGTCATCACAGCAAAAATCCAAACCGGGGTACCGGGTGATGGTGACTTCCGGGTTGGCCTACAAAATTGCGTCATCCCTTCAGCCCTCTTTTAACAATACAGTGATATTGAAATTGTTTTTACAAATTGAGACATTTCGCTACTATGATATCGACTACTGAAATCATGAAAATTTCAGCAACCCTGCATCGCCCATTGAGAATATTATACTGGTCAATCACTTGTGTACTTACTGTAAGGTTCATGAAATTCAAGAACTTCTTCAGCATCTCTGTCATGACCGAAAAATCCCCTTTTGGCAAGTTCTCCCTCACAGTAGTCACATTCATCTGAAAGAGAAACAGAATTAGCAGCCTGTTCCTCCTGCGAGGTTACAGTACTCCGCAGACCAGTGCTGAAAGAGATTTTTAAAGCAAGTCTCTGTTGATCAAAGCAGCAGCACTGCATCTCTGGCCATCATTTTTTTCAGTATGTTCCAAAAGTCTCCATAGTACTCGTTCTTCAAAAACACAAACTCAAATATTTCCCTCCTTCCAAAAGCTTGGATGCCTCCTAACATGAATCTAACAAGTGCCAACAAGATGATGTACCTTACAAAAGAAATCCTACTTTGAGTCAGTTTGCTTTGTTTTTCTAAAACAGAATCAAACTTGACCTTCAAAGTGTGCAAACATGCATCCAAAAGGAAAAAGTGGGTGAAATACGAGTATAAAAGCCATCTCGTTTTGTGTCTGGGCAGTGTTTATTGGCGAGACAGATAATGGCCAGGTGTGTCAGTCAAAAAGCAACAGTGTGGTGTGAAAGAGAAACAGAGGAGTCCATTACAGACCATTCAACAGCCCACCTATTAACGATGTGAAGATAAAGCCATTAATACTGGCAAACACAACTCAGGGGCTTTCTTCTGATAACTACCCTAAAACTTGCATAACTGCAATTTAGACAAACAACCCTCGAACCTTGCAAAGGAATTTGAACAGAAAAAGCTCTGCACCAATAAATGCTATGCTTATATTGGTCCAATCTGGGTTTATTCTGACCTTAAAGTGACTGAGGGCACAAGAGACCACTTGTAGAGGACAGAAAGGGTATCTAGATGAAAGTTTGTAGGCTTGCATTGCTAAATGCATACCTGATATTAATAATAAATTATATTCTTTATACTTTGAGGAAAATGCAGATTCTGAGAAGACACAAATGCAAACCATGCATTAGAGATACAAAATGGAAAACATTGAGGTACGCGAGTGTTTTACTTACAGGGCTCCCCTGGCACAGACAGCCCAAAAGCAGTGCAGTGTATGATGCCACAATACTGTCCTCCATGTGCTTGCCAGCATGCTGAAGAGCTGGAGACAAAAATCACATGACATATTACTCAAAATAACTTTATAGAAATGTTGCATATTTACAATGGGTTAAGTCTAGGGCTGTCAGTTAAACGCCTTATCAAAATGGTAAATGGACTGCATTTATATAGTGCTTTCATAGACCTAATGGCCACCAAAGTGCTTTACATATTGCCTCACATTCACCCATTCACACACATTTATACACCAACGGCAGTGTCAGCCATGCAAGGCGCCATCCACCTCGTCGGGAGCAGCTGGGGTTAGGTGTCTTGCTCATGGACACCTCGACACTTGGTCAGGTGGAACTGGGGATTGAACCACCAACCTTCCAGTTTGTAGATTTACTTTAAAATATACTTATAAATACGCTACAGAAGTTTCTGGAGACGTTTTGTGAGAAAATTTAACTTCCGTGTCTGAAAATGGGCATGGCGGGTGTGATGCAACGAATGGGAGAGCAGGCCGATTCAAACAGAAAAACAATGGATCGCAATGACATTTCGGACGCTGAGGAAACACTCGTATGACGGGCCAAGTCATACTGTTATGAGCCTGCTATGCTAAAGAGAGCAGGGACAGGCCAGGATAAAGTTAGACAGAACGGTCAGAGACAAATTGAGTTGTGGTGTGAGGAGAACCAGTGGAGAACAGGACAGGTGTCTTTTGGTACGAGACGTGCTTATAGATATACACGTTCGCTAACGATATAAATTAAAATACAGAAACTACCAAAAGCACAGTGACTGACGACCGCTCTCACTGAATACCAGCCTACTCTACACTGAGCAAAGGCTGAGGCTCCCTGATGCGTAAAATACGCGATATTGAAAAAAAAAAGCCGTTTTTACTAGCAATCCAAGACCGGACTGCTAGTAAGACTCACTTTATCTACTAAATTAGTGCCCTTATGTTGTTTTAAAACATTTTAAATCCTGCATTAACTTTTCATATGTTTTTTTCATACAAGGTTATCTATAAATTTAGATTTTTTTTACCTGCAATATGCTCTTTAACGTCGATAACGCAAACCGACTTTTCCAAACCGACTCCGCCCTCACCACGCCCCCAACACAAAACAAGCCGTTCCACATGTGTTATTAATTGTGTATTAACTATGACATTAATGCGATTAATCAAACTTTTGCTGATAAATTACTCACCCCCATGTCATCCAAGATGTCCATGTCTTTCTTTCCTCAGTCGAAAAGAAATTAAGGTTTTTGATGAAAACATTCCAGGATTTTTCTCCATATAATGGGCTTCAATGGGAACCGGATGGTTCAAGGTCCAAAAGACAGTTAATAACTGTTTCAGATGCAGCTTCAAATGTATTTAAACGATATCAGACGATGAATAAGGGTCTTATCATGCGAAACGATCGGTTATTTCAAAACTTATTCCAAAAATGTAACTTTTCTAAGGACAAATGCTAGCCTTGCTCTATTCTGAGAGGCGCGTTTGCAACATCACGTATTACGTAATTACGTTCAAAAGGTCACGGGCGACGTAGCCGAAAGTACAGAGTCAGTGTTTACAAGCTGAATGCATAGGTTGAACGTGCAAACTAGCTCAAACACCGTTTACAAAAAAAGGAATTAAAAGGAAAAACAACGATGTCGGACGATTTTGATTCTGTACTTCCGGCTACGTCGCCCGTGACCTTTTGAACGTAATTACGTATTACGTGACGTTACAAACGCGCCTCAGAGAATATAGCAAGGCTAGCATTTGTCCTTAGAAAAGTTACATTTTTGGAATAAGTTTTGAAATAACCGGTCGTTTCGCATGATAAGACCCTTATTCATCGTCTGGTGTCGTTTAAAGACATTTGAAGCTGCATCTGAAACTGTTATTAACACTATCTTTTGGACCTTGAACCATCCGGTTCCCATTGAAGTCCATTATATGGAGAAAAATCCTGGAATGTTTTCATCAAAAACCTAAATTTCTTTTCGACTGAGGAAAGAAAGACATGGACATCTTGGATGACATGGGGGTGAGTAAATTACCAGCAAAAGTTTTTTCAAAAGTGAACTAATCCTTTAAGACCACTATTCATCAGCATGCATTGATTAATCCCATGGCATGTAGCAAAAAAAAAAAAAAAAAGTTGCAACCAAATCACATGCTGTTGTGACCAACTGAGAAAGTTGGTAGCACCAGTGCAACCAGTAGAAAAGTTAGTCTGGAGCCCTGGTTCATTGGGCCAATATGAGATTGGTCCCCCATCAAAGTGGCTCATAGATAAAGCAAAATTGCATGCCATGACAAAAAGAAAAACTGCATTGGCTAGTCTCAAGTTATAGTGGGTGTCTACCTTTGTTGAGATCAAGTTCCTCATCCTCCTCCTCTTTCTTCTTGTCCTGTTCTCCTTGGTTGTTGTTTTCTGAAGCCACCCACTGAATCTCTTCATTGGTTTCTTTCCATTCTCCGCTCTGATCCAATTGGGGCTTTGGTGCATCGTTGATGAAGTCATCTGTCTCCGCCTCTGCCAAAATGGCCGCATGCTCTCTCTGAAGGAAAAGCTAGTAATGCAGAAACAAAGGGAAAATATTTACTGATGTTTCATTACTGAACCAATTAGTGATGGGCATAAAAACTGGTAAACAGTTTAAAAAGATAAAAAATAACTGAAATTAGTAATGCTATTCTATTACATCTTAACATTTCTATTAATTGACACATGCATTAATGAAAATTCCAGCATAAATCATTCGTTTTTCTGTACGTCTGCGTCTATACCTTCACCAAAGCAGCAATGGCACCGAGAGATCTCTCAGTCTGCAACTCCTCTTTGTCAGACACACACATGGAGTCCCAGACATCACTTCCCTCCATCTGCAGCTCCACTAGACAGTGTCTGTTCCTTGCGCTGTACTCCACCAGATTAATGAGCAATCCCAGACCCTACAAACACACACACACAAACACAATGAAACAAACGCAAAACCTGGTTTCACTTTAACAAATGTTGGACAATTATACAAATATTTTATTACAATTTATTTTTATATTTTTAAACTATTGTTAAAAATATACCATTTTTTGTATTCATATTGGCAAAATAGCCTTGGTAGAACTTGGTTTAAAAAAAATCAATTTTATTTTATCATTTACAAATATTATTTTAAATATACAATCAAAGTTAATATGGGGATTCAATGTGTAAATATATTTATGATTACAAACGTTAAATGTTAAATGCAATAAACTGTAGTTAACCACAGAAATGTGATTATTTAAAAATTGTAATCGATCCAGACCTGCAATAAATAGAACAATGTATAGAAATAAACAGAAAAGATATATTTTGCACTAAAATGCTCAATCTTTGCCAATTAATTGGTTTCCTAAGTTTGTTGCTATTTTAAGTAACAACTAATTTAACAAAAATTGGAAAAAAAAATTAATCAGTGAATGTTCACAAAAAAAGTTTCCGGTTAGCAGTTTAAGTAATGAATGAATTTGTTCCTAATGGAATGAGTGTATCAGTGTATTACAATCAATGAACAATAATAACCACACTAAGAATTCAGTTGATTTAATTAAACCTTTAAAGATGCAAAAAAAAAAAAAAAAAAAAAATTGTTGAGTTCTGTTGACAATGTTGATCATTAAATGAACCTAATATTGTCTCTAATATAAACTCAGATTTCTGCTATAATTGAGAAAGAAAAAAGAAAAGAAAGTTGTAGTAACAATGAAATTGTCTTGATAACTTTAACACAGTCTCATCCCAAAAAGTCATATAACTGACGTCTTGGGACGTCTTTTGACCATACGTCATTATCCGCCTTTTTAGGGCCCCCTTAAACGTCGGTAGATGGCGATCCCGGGCCGTCATACAACTGACGCTTTACCTTTAACGTCAGTTAGGTGACGGGGTTTAGGTCTGGGGTAGAGTTAGGATCCCATAACCTCATCTACCGACGTTTAAGGGGGCCCTTATAAGGCGAATATTGACGTATGGTCAAAAGACGTCCCAAAACGTCAGTTATATGACGTCTTGGGATGAGACCGGGTTGATAACTTGGGTTAGGGAAACTGGACATAGTGGATTTCTAGTTCCCAGGATGTTTTGCATGGGACTAGAAAAGGAGCATTAAATGTTGAACTTACTGTACTGTTTTTTTATAGAAGAGAAAGACCTGTTAGTGTTATGTGGTTACGTTTGACATTTCTTTGTCAAACTTTTTTCAATAAAGTTTCTGTAATGTTGAAGTTGTGTTTACAATTGAGCAGACTAAATGAAGCTAAACACTACATTATAGCAATAAATGTGTTAATGCCCGTGAAAAGTATGATCTTATTTGTTCATTAAATCTACAGTACATGCTAAATAAGTTACACTAAGCATGTGCTATGATAGGTGTGGATTGTAACTGAAATAGATGAGATGAACTGGTTCCAGGGCTACAACTCGTGTAGTTGGAGCTACTTTTTTGTTTTCAACTTAAATTTGTTTGTTACAAATGATGAAGTTCCTCTAACTCAATATAGTTTGTTGGTTGGCTCACAGAGTTCATACAGGTTTCTTCAAGTTAAATTCAAGTCTTTTTAAGACCATTTATATAATATATGAATTGTGGTGCTGTAGCGCGTGATCTTCATTTACTAAAGGCATCACGTGTTTGCAGTATTTTGTACTGTGACCCGAGGCTGCGTTGTGTTCTCCATTATTGGTTCTGGCACTCTTTATTTAAACTATGTTAAATCAAAATAATCGTGGTTGACAAATTAAACTTTTGTGGAAAAATACAATACGGAGAAGTTACATACAGCAAAATTTCTAAGACCCAGACATCAAAATTCATGACTTTTTAAGGTATTATTTCCAAATTAATAAATTCAATGCTTTTAAAGATTTTTAAGAACCCGCCGGAACCACGTCTCATTTGAAGTTGCCATGACAAAAAGAAAATTATGCATAAGGTTGTTATTTTTTGGTTGAGCCAACAGTTTTATAATTGCCAGCAAAATCCTCACAAATAAGCATTGTATATATCTGAACCAGCCTTTATTACCAATCTAACCACAGTATGGATTTTTCATTTGTAATGTTTCAAAGCACTCTGGAACTAGTGGACACTGCTGATCCTCACTGAATGTATACGGACACTGACTGATATTAGTAGAGCTGTGTACTCACCAGGACTCTGATATCGAACCTCTGCTCCTGCGGTAGGTACTGTGGGACCCTGAGCACACAGTTCAGCGCTGTGATGATTAACTCCTCCTGCTCTCCTGTCTTTGTGCTGCCCCATTCTACAGACAGATAGAAAACGCACTCAATGGCTGATGCATATATGAGTTCAAAGTTAGTTAATCAGGGATTTTCTCTGACTGTTGTTCTCCAAGCTGCTCACATTTGGCTTATGACTGAGTACTCCTGCATTATGCTAAAGGGTTTGGCAGCAATACTAGAAAGCAGCTAGCCAAAGCAGCACTGCTAACATAAATCCACTTGGCACGTCGAACAAAACCCACGCAAGGAAGCCAAAGGACTCTTATTGACTTTAAGCCTTTCAAAAGCAGAATAACAAACATTATATTAGGAATAATGTAATGAGACAGTTACTCCAGCCCAGTTGCCTGATTGTTCAGCTTGCAGCACATATTACAGTTCAGTGTTAGGGAGTAACTAACTAAAAGCAGCAACATGTAATGACTAATTGATAGGGGTGGGCAATATGAGCAAAAATTCAAATCACAATATGTTTTAATGCCCGGATGATATCGACATTATATTGCAATATGAGAAGAAAAAAATACTGGAATCACATTTTAGTACACCTTAGTGAAATTACAGGCAAAATATGTATTTTAGCCATATAGTTAGAAAAAGGTGAGGGATTTAATTTGACATGGGCCTTGCTATCTCTTTCCACTTTTTATTTTGCGGGAGTCAAAATAATTCCTTCGTTAATTTTGTAAGATGAGGAACACTGGAGTTTGGTTAATTGAATATGTTATAATCAATAAATCTGAAATAGTGTGATTTCAGAGAGGTTTGACACTTACGCTTAATTTAAGACAACATTATGTATGTGAGAATTTCATTGTTTTTATTTATATTGTTGTCCATTTATCAAACTTCCATACCTCTTAAATAATAATTCTATATTACTATGTATCAATTTACTAATGCTCAGACACACTCGCTGTCGCTCACTCGTCTATGTGTGGGAAACACTGGACTGCTTCCATGCTCTCGGTGTTTGATTATTAATGCCAGTGCATCACGCGAGTTGGACACAAGAGGAAAAGGTTAAACGATCAGTTCAGCCTCGATTTTGTATCATCATTAGTAGGCCTAGTGTTAAAAGTTGTAAAGAGTACCAAATTTAACATGACAATATAACTGAACATTTTTTATTTATAAAAATCTAACGGTATTCTCGGTATCGCAAATTCCATATCATGGTACAACATAATACCGGTAGTCACGTTGATACTGGTATAGCGCCCACCCCAAGTAAACACTAATGTATTTGATTACTGATTAGTTGGATATGTGTGCTGTGGAGAACCTCTTTCAGTGACAACACATTACAGCAGTAAAAGAAAAATTCATCAGTCAAAAACGCATTTGCAAAATGGCGGTCACAATGCTATCGAGCTGCTGTGGGAAAGGTTCCAAAATCTTGACTAAATCCAAAAAGCATTCTTTACATTTTCATGTGAACTGAACACTAGCATATGCGCAGTCAAACTCATAGCCTTTCAAAGTATACTTCCTTTGATGACGTGATTAACCCATTTGTTCCACCTTGTTTCTTTTTCGACTGTAAAACAACAGACCAATATTGTTCACTGGATCTCCTAGTAACAGGGTCGCGTGATCGAGATCGGCCCGCGACTGGCAATTTCGGGGCTTTATTTTTCTGTCAAAGGTTCGGGGCGCTTCTCCATAGATATTAGGGATAGCTAATGTCGATGCATAGCCAATGATACAATACATTAAAGATGCATATAAGCAGCTACCGATGCGATGCAATACAATTCGCTATTCTCACGATCGAGTGCGATCTGATTTCGATTCAATTCAACGCTATGTGATTCAATGTAATACGATGTAATGGACAAAAATATGATGCTATGCAATTCAACATGGTATAGACAGTTAACTTTATATATATATAGTTAACTTCTAATAGATATACATAAAAAAAGGATATGCAAAGGATTCCATTTTATTTGCATTCGCTACTCAGTAATGAGTCCATTTCATTTTGTTTGCATTCGCTACTCGGTAACGCTACTCTGTAACGATAGATCACTCATTGCTCAGACATATAGTAGGTTGTGATTTGTCTCCGTCTCCTTCTCACAGACGTTTAGGCGCGCTCTCTATTCTTGTCACACTCACTCATTCCAGATTCATTGACGCGCCCCTTCCACGTTTAACCACGTGTTTAACATGCGACAAATTTACTGGTCGCACTTGTGCGACTTGATGTAAAATTCGGTCACAGTCTGAAGCCCTGTTTGTCATTTAGTTTGGAACATATTCCTTCAGTCAAATTGGAAAACATTCTGGTCTTTGTCCTTACCGTTATCATGTGTGAGATTTAACAGGACTCCAATGATGGCTCGCATACAGTCTTCTACAGCTTTCCCCACATTGCTGTTGCTGCAGTAAGGTAGCGGTGTGCCTGACGAGCACAGGCCTCTGTTCACCTCTCGACTGTACCTCTGGATCATCTCCTCACAGTGCCATAAGGCCCTAAAAACAAAGTCAAAGATGTCATGTCCCTAAAAATAATTACGAATTATTGCTTTAATAATCAAAAACATCTTAAAAGAACAGTTCACTAATTCTCTCACACAAAAGTTAAATAACTTCAGAAGTCTTGGTATATGTAGTGCACGTCAAATAGGTGTTTTTTTTAGGGTGTTTTTTATTTTGTTTATTTAAATTTCATTGTATGAAGAAGCACAGCATGAAGATTCTTCAAAATATTTCTTTTTGTGTTCCACAAAAGAAAGTCAATCATATGTGGCTCAGAACAACAAGAGAACCAACAATTGCACATGTAAATTAATTTAAGGTATTGGTTCTCAAAGAGTGGGTCACAGACCTGTTCTGATAACTTGGCAGAGAGCCTAGGGATAAACAATGATAAATGCAAATAATAAAATGCAGCTAACTATATAATTACGCATAGTTAGGAATGGGATAGTAAAATAAAAGCCTTATCCTGTAAAACGGAGGATAAAACTAAAAAATTGTACATCCAATAAAACTTTGCAGTATTTTGGCAGAAATTAATTCGTCATTTGGTAGAAGTTAGTTCAATTAGACATGTCAACATGGTTCGGTTGCATGACACGGCCTCATTCTCAAAAACCATGAACATGCCCACATTCAATGTGTTTACATGAAATACTACAATGCATTTAAACAGAGGGAAGTGTAGCACATAATAAAAGACAATGTTAGCATCTGTTGATTTTAATTGTGGGAGAAAACTAGTTAATTGTTGCATTATTTATTAGTCTTCAGGATTTAAAATCTTCATCGTGTAAATGTCACAGGATATATTTAACACCTACAGTACATTCATGTCTTCTGTGTCTCAATAATTAAGAGTGTGTCTGATGACGGTTCTCTTAATTATTCACAACAGCACGTGATGGTTTCCTATGAGATGCTGTGAGACGTAAATGCTCAAAAGTGAGAGTGAGGGATGCATTCATGATTCATGTTCGCGATATGTTAACACAAGTGACAGTGTCAATAAATTGTGCGAAAAAAATTGGACACGTTCTCAATCATCTCATCTGAAACAGCCTCAGGGCTATGAAGACTTCAAAAAGTGTAAGCCCACATCTACCAAAACTGCTAACGAAATGCCACGTTATAATAGCAGTCTCAAAGACAACCATTAAACAAAAATTTGCAAGTGTAACTCCTGAAAAAAAAACTGCAATATTCTTCTGAAGATTAAAAGAAAAAATATAATAAAAATAGCATTTGTCTAGGGGTAAATTCTATATCGCAAGAAATATTGTTATCGCGATACTCAACATCACCACATATTTTCCCAGTATCAGTACCTATTGAAGTAAAAGTCTCGAAAGTCATTAAAAATGCAATAGCATGTTCATTATTATACTTTTGATTTAAATTAAAGCAGTCAAACAATAAACCATGTATAATAGATGTGTTGATTTTGTTGCATGTAATTGTTAATTGCGGCATGCATTTGTCGGAGTCTTTGATGCTTTTAAAGGGTTAGTTCACCCAAAAATTAAAATTAAGTCATTAATTACTCACCCCCATGCTGTACCAACCCCTTAAGACCTTCGTTCGTCTTCGGAACACAAATGAAGATATTTTTGATTAAATTTGAGGGCTGTATAACTACCACATTGGCTCCTAAGGGACTGCCTCTTGACGGCCCAGAAAGTCAATGAAGAAAATGTTTAAATATCCCAAGTGACTACCGTGGCTCAACTATATGTTTATCAAGCGACGCGAATACTTTTTGTGCGAAAAAACAAACAAAAATAACGAGTTTATTCGACTATTTCTTTTCTTCCTTGTAGGCCAGAAACGAGACTTCCTTATAGATTTCCACGACGCATGCGCGAGAATTGCAATCTGAAGTAGTGTAAGCTGGTGAAAGCAGATCGCAATCCGCGCGCATGCGTCGTGGAAATCTAAGGAAATCTCGTTTCTGGCCTACAAGGAAGAAAAGAAATAGTCGAATAAACTCGTTATTTTTGTTTGTTTTTTCGCACAAAAAGTATTCGCGTCGCTTGATAAACATATAGTTGAGCCACGGTAGTCACTTGGGATATTTAAACATTTTTTTCATTGACTCTCTGGGCCGTCAAGAGGCAGTCCCTTAGGCAGCCAATGTGGTAGTTATACAGCTCTCAAATTTAATAAAAAATATCTTCATTTGTGTTCCGAAGACAAACGAAGGTCTTACGGGGTTGGTACAGCATGGGGGTGAGTAATTAATGACTTAATTTTCTTTTTTTTGGGTGAACTAACCCTTTAACTCAATGAGAGCGAAATGAAATCGCCTGAATCAGAAGACGTTGTTCTGTTGTCCGTTTCCCCTCTTGCCGCACCACTCCGCAGCTTTTCATGCCCACTTTTGTAGCATTTTTCAAAACTGTAGTAAAAACTAACTAGAGCTGAAACGGAGTTTCATGGCCCTTTAAAACTTGGCACTTTGAAGGACAAAAAAATCTGTCCTGCAGCAAAAAAACAGCTAAGAAACTTCTTTAAGGACCCTAGCAAACTTCATATTTTTGGTTTAAGCACAAAAATAACTCCTCTTGATAAATGAAATCATAATTTACAGTCTTTGAAAGGGCATCAATAGACTCAATGTACAAAGTGACATCACATTAGAACATTTTATCTCTAAATCTGGTCCTACAAGTGCTCCATCAGCATTTAAATAATGGCCATTCAGAGTAACACTCGAGATGGAAAAACAGCCTGCAGCATCCTAATGGATTACATTTACACCACAGCCAAGGTCAGCAGACACTAACACAAGCTGCGCTAGCTTTCACTAGAGGGGGGAAACTTAGCTCTTCCTCTCTATTAGCCCCCAAGGTGTGTGTGTGTGAGATGGCAACAAAGAGAGAGTCAGCAACCAAAGCACAAGTGTTACAGTATGACCAGCTTCGTGTAAAATCCCACTAATACGCTTAGCATAATGTGAGTTCATTAGTGAGCGAGATGGGAAATGGAGGTAAAGGTTCATGTACTCATATATTAGTGGGATCATTATTAATGCAGGCCTGCCGTACTCTCTTAATTGAATTAGAGCCAGCTGAACGAGCTCTTTCAAAAGACTTTGTTGACTCATCTAGATCCTCTTCATAGTCCTGAGCACCCTGTTTAGTTCGCTTTGCACTCTTTGAAGGGTCTGACCTCATCTAGAGAGCTGGGCCATTAGCTGAGGCCAGACTGCCTCAAGCAGACAAGTATGAGCTTGATTTCCTATAAGAGATGCTTACAGGGATAGTTCACCAAAATATTCTGTCAGTAATTACTCGCCCTCATGTTGTACCAACCCCGTAAGACTTTCCTTCATCTTCGGGAAAACAAATCTGAAAGCTGGCTCACACCTTCATAGGCTGCAAGGTAATTGATATCTGCCAGCCCAGCAAAGTTAGTAAAGATATCTTTAAACTAGTCCAAATGACTACAGTGGCTCAACATTAAGTTTATCAAGCGACAAGAATACTTTTTGTGCACAAAAAAAAATAATAATAAAAATAAATAAAGAAATAACAACTTTATTTAACTATTCCTTTTCTTCCCTGTAGGCCTCTGAGTGAGTTTACGTAGTGTAACAGCACAGCACTTCTGGGTTGTACATCAGAACGTAGGCTCACTATTGGCCAGCATCACAGGCGAAAAGCATCACAGACGACCACGTCGGCCAATAGTGAGCCTACGTTCTGACGTTCAACCCAGAAGCACTGCGCTGTTTCTCTATTTCAACAGCTTAGGAGAATGACATGGAAGAGAAGAGATGGTTGAGTAAAGTCATTATTTTAGGTTTTTTTTGCGCACAAACATTATTCTAGTCACTTGATAAACTTGAGACTGAGCCACTGTAGTAACTTGGACTTTTGAAGATATTTTTACTAAGTTTGTGGAAGGAATGAATCATTCTAGAATGACTGGGGTGGTTTTGTCATGGAGTAAATCCGAATAGAAAATATTAATAGAATGTTAACTAATGTAGTTAACTAGACTAAATGGAATCTTATTGTAAAGCACTTCCTATTTCGTGAGCTTAGAATTACAAGGTTTTATCTCCGTTCAGGGTAGTTCTGAGATATTGAGCATCAAAGGTTTTACATCCCAGCTGGCAAAACTGTTATGTAGTATAATCTTCTATTATAGCTTTATCTATTAATCTTTTTTTTTTTTTTTTTTACAAAAATACCACCACACAGGCATTAATAAACACCTAATGGATCAAATTACGTCAAAAACTCAATTTCGATCAAAAGTGGAGATAGAACCTTATAATTCTAAGCTAACGATTCATGTCTCTTGAGTTCAGTGTTGGACAGATCAATAGACCTTATTCGATCTGCCTCATCAGTGTTTGTAAACTTAAAATTGACAAAAACAACCGACTCTCATGCCTTTTCTTTTGCACTTACATTTTAATACAACAAATCTTGCACTTGTTTTTCCACCTCCACGAATGAGACGAGTGTCGTTCATGTTGCCTTGTTGAGGTAAATTGTAGTTTGTACGTTATACGGATACTGTATGAACGAGATCGTTATAAATATCCGGATAGATTACGGCTGGCAATAAGGACGGATCTTTACTTAATGCTATTATTTAATTTTGATGTGGGTCCACACACCAATCAAGCCTATCTTCTCTTGATACTGACGAGATGAAACTCCCCCTCAACTCAAATCTGCGTGCTGCTAAGGGCAGCAGGACAGATGTCATGTCAACAATATGGCCGAGGTGAGCGACTTCTGGTATTTGCAAATAAGGTCTATTGTTTTAACCGTTCATTAAAGTGAATCAGTTCAAAGAAGTCATTAGTTCGCACATGTTGTGTGATTATGCAGGCAGTTTAGGACATCGCACAAGATTTGTGTCAACACAGAAAACATTTCATCACTAGATCGATTTTTTTTTTATGTTGAAAGTGTGGTTTGTCATCTGAATGTGTGGAAAGCTTTTTAGAGAAAGCTATTAAGGCAACGTTATTTTACGTTATCACAATTCAATTACATTGTCACAATTCACAACCAGGGGTAGTTCAGAAAAAAAAACAAAAAAAAAAAAACTTCATCTTGTATTCTCAAAGATATTCAGTCAACTCAATTCATTAATATGCATGAGGGAGGGAGGGAGCAAGAGAGAGAGAGAGAGAGAGAGAGAGAGAGAGAGAGAGAGAGAGAGATACAGTTTGACGATGGTGCAAAATGACATCATGACTTTTGCGTAAACGTTTCGAGTCAGGTGGCGTGCTATCTCTAGGCATTTTGAGCTATCCGCCTGTATCCGCGTGTATGCGTATATGTCTACGCTAGGGATGGGACGATAACCGGTTTCACTATAAACCGTGATAAAATGTACTGACGGTTAGTATTATCATTTAAAATTTAATTATCATTTAAACCGTGTTTGATTATCGCGATTTTAATAACTCACTGAATCCTGTCGGCCAGTCTGACGCAGGCACGCAATATTTAAAAAAAAATTACTATTCGAGAAGGAATGGTGGAAGGCAGGGACCGTGCTCAGGAGATTTTTCAGCCTTTTAAGAGGACCAAATCTGAGGTGTGGTCATATTTTGGGTTTAAACAAAAGTCCTGAGGGAAACTTGATCGAGGATGGTCACCTTGTCTGCCAAACAAAAAGTCACTGCAATAGAAACACTTCAAATCTGCCGAGTCGTCTTGTGTGATCACCTGAACGCAAGGCAAGTTAACTTTGACCTTAATACCAAAACTACGTCTGGGAAACAATTGGGCACGAAATGTTGTTTTGAGTTGAAACATTTTATGTCACTCACTTGAAACAAGCTTCCGCGAAGAAAAGTTCGTAGCAAGTGGCTTTGAGCCAAAGACGAACGAACAACTTCAAACAAGACTATTATTAAGAGTGATGTTTTAAGGCATAGTAAAGTATAGATGCATGACGTATTAAACCGATTTTATTTTTACCACATAACTACGGGGACATTCAATTGATTATGAGTTTAGCTAATGTTTTAAATCTTACCTGTTTATGAATTCATTTTGTAAAACAATCGTCCAGACAAGATATATCACACCAAATTTTCAAACTCTGTAAACAATAAATCAACTCTGATTTCATTTTTGCAATAGAATCAAAAACCGGAGACGCAAGACGGCAAGTTGTATTTGAATGAAACAAGAGCGCGTGAGAGAAACCGTGCGCTGTGTAATAATGCGGTGCTATTGACGACGGGCATTATAAAGAAGCAAATGCCATAGAATAGAATCTTGCCTAAAAAACTGCATAGAGAGGCTTGTTTTGTTTGTTGATTATAAAACTTGTTGAAATGTTTTCAGTGTGAGCATCAGTTCTTTTAGAGCACTTTCATCTAATTTTAACAAAACCGTGATAATATTGATAATCACGATTATTTTGGACACTATAATCGTGATATGAAATTTTCATACCGTCCCATCCAACGTCCGCGTCATTCCGCGTGTCCGAACACGCAGTCAAATCTCCAGTCATAAATGCCATTAACCCCAGTGACGGTTAAGTTTAGGGATGGGGTTGAGGTAAGTCATATCTTTTTTTTACCTAGGATGGTAAGGGAACAGTCATAAATGCCATTAACCCCAGTGACGGTTAGGTTTAGGGACGGGGTTGAGGTAAGTCATATATATTTATATAACGTTAAGTCAACGGCGTTCATAAACACGCTGAAAGGCGATTATGCGTCTTGATAGCACGCCAAAAATGGAAATACGAATTGGCGTGTCATACACACGCTACTTCATGAGATCAGTCTGGATGGTGAGTGCACACACGTTCTCTCAGTTAAACATCTACATCACTCACTAGTCAAATAAGGCCTTAGCAGGACAAAAAAAAACAAAAAAAAAACACACCTTCGCAAGGCTGACAGAAAACAGCACGCAAGTTTCAGTCTTCTTGCTCTTGATGTTTAATCTGACAGGACTTACGCTTGTAATGTATGTGCTCGTGCAAAAACAAACATTCCTGCCCCCACACTCACATCTACACACACGTCAAATACACAGGAATAATTATCGGCCAGTTTTGACATCGGATTCGGAACGATACCAAATCACCGATGTGTAAAAAAATTGACCACAGACCAACATTATATCAGCTGCCGATATATCGTGCACCAATACTCAATGTTCAAACTGAAATCTGAAAATGTGAGTGGTATTTGCCCATGTAAAAGTCACATGCCAAGGCGTTGCTTCATGGCATTTTTTTTTTTGTTGTTGTTTTTAATGTGTTGTTATCAGGCTGGGGTGTTTGCTATCTTGTAAATTCTTACTGGCCCAAATTAAAAGAGCCTTCACATCTCTTTGACATTATGGTCTCTAGATATGACTTTGCTTCCCTCTTTCAAAGTAAGTCTATATAAATTGTTACCCGTTTTATCATCTTCCAGTTCCAGGCAAGAATTTTGATTGCTTAGAGAGTATGAGCACTTTGATATATCATTCATATCTGCAGCACAAAAAGTGTTGTGAGAATTACACGCTGGGCATAATAGAGATAAAAATATCAATTAAATAAAATAAACAAATAAATAATATCAGCAAAAAAAAAAAAAAAAAAAAAAAAAAAAATATATATATATATATATATATATATATGTATGTATATATATATATATATATAACGCATATGAAGAAAAGTATAATCATGTGTTGTAGTAGTTAATGTGACTCATGTGCTATTGGGACCCTTTTTATAGAATGTGGTAAAGTATTCCGCATTTGGCATTTTTTTTAATGTACATCTTCATAAAATGTAATGTACATTAGATACACTATGACTACTATGTGTACAATATACTTTGTATTTTGTGTGCCTATACTTTGTATGGGGCGGCAGTGGCTCAGTGGTTCATGTAGGTTGTCTACAAAACATAAGGTTGGTGGTTCAATTCCCAGTTCCACCTGACCAAGTGTCGATGTGTCCATGAGCAAGACCCCAACTGCTCCCAAAGAGCTGGATTGCACCTTGCATGACTGACACCACCGTTGGTGTATGAATGGGTGAATGTGAGGCAAAATGTAAAAAAAATATATTACCCTATCTATTATCTGTTGCAATGGGGTTTCTTCTTATACAATACATTTGGAAAGAAATAATTGGTTTAAGCAAATTTGCAGCCATGAAACTCCATAGAGGTTTACACTTTTAAGAAAATGTGAAAGTAAATCTCTGAACTCTAAGTCTTCTGAAGCTATAGCTGTGTTTGAGGAATAGACTGAACACAAGTTTTTTTTTTAATCATAATCTGACTACTTTCAGTTCATATTCTAAAACGGAGCATGAAGTTGTGTGATGTCAAATCCAGATGAACTAGCTTTACAGTGCTTGATATCTCCTGATATTTGTAAACTTTCATGTGTATATGCAGTGTTTGGGATGACATGAGGGAGTAAATGACAACTAATTTAAATGACTAACTATCCTTTTAAGTGCTCTTTAGTTGGACACTTGAGACAGTATGCAACTCTTGTTAATGTTTGAAATGATTGGTCTCTTTAAGAAATGTCAGCATGGCTTGAGCTGCATCTGAGAGTGTTCTCTGGCACAGCAGCTCTATGCTTATGGTCTTGGCAGCTGGTGCTGTTGATAAAGTGTCCCTGTAGCTATTGGGGTTGTTAATGAGTCTGGAGGCCGTCTGCTGTAATGAGCAAAAGCAAGCACAAAGTCCACGGTTAACCTGTACCCTGCCTGACTGAACAGTACCAGAGTCAGTTCAGTCAGAGACAAGAGTACTGCTACATTACTGTAAAACCAAAGCTAGACTGCATTTATTTTGGAGGCACTTACTTTGCTGAAGACACTATGAGCTGAGAGTCCTTGTACGCAATCAGGTAAGCCTGGTTTTCTGGATTGTGAACGGTTACCTGTATCAAGAGAATATATAGAAATATATAAACATTTTTTTTTTTTTAAATCCCCTTAAATAGTCAAAGTAACATCGTAAAAAATTTGAAGTTGGTAAAGATTTTTTTTAAACATTTTTGCAATTTTGCAAGTCTCTTATGTTCACCAAGGCAAAATATATTTGATCAAATTTGTAGTTAAAAAATGCAATATTTTGAAGTATTATTGCAATTTAAAATAACCTTTTTTTACTTGAAAATAGCCTATATTAAAAATGTAATTTATTCCTGTGATGCAAAGCTGAATTCAGCATCATTACTAAAACAAAAACAGCGCTTTAACAAATCCATTTACTGTCACTTTTGATCAATTTAATGCATGACTGCTAAATAAAAGTATTTATTTCAAAAACAAAAAACTAACCCCAAACTTTTGAACTGTAGTGTATATCACAACAAGATCACATCTTTGGAAATGTCTTATTGTAAAAACCATGTGACATATATCCTTTTATTCTGTTCATGCTTTAATGTATGCGACTTTCAATTAAAAACTATGTTAATGGGGTTTGTGGTTCAAGGAGAAACAGCCTGGATCTACTTGATCTAACTTATTCAGGGAACATTTTCCACCTTGTTTTTAAATATGACAGTGGGTTGAGCATGGCCATTTGTAACTTGAATGTGAGGCTTCTGGTGTCATTACCTTCCAGTTATTTTTAGCTGTACAAAAATATGTGCTTGATATTGCAAACTGGAATTTCTTATAGAATGTCTCACACATTCACAAAAAATAGCTTACTTCAGCATTGCAAAATAAGATGGATACTGCACCTGGTTGCACATAACAATAATAATTAATATCCAAGAATCACAACTCAAAAGTGTGGATGAGTATCAGACTTACACTTTCTAGAACACGAAGACATCTCTCAGCCCCCCACAATGACGCCACAAGGTTCTCCTTATCATCCTCTCGGCTCAGGTTCTCCACACACTCTTTAACTAAGGAAACACACATGCACATAAACTCACGGTTAAAAATGCATGCATGCTTATTCAAAAACTATGCATCTTAAACTCAGGCAAAAGGGATGGCCATCACTTAATACAAAATTAACAAATCTCTGATCTTTTTTTAAATAGGCCATTAATTCTATACAGGTCACTTAAGCAAATACACTGTAAAAGCAGAAGACCTTTATCAACAATGTGGTCCAGGCCTCCCAGAAGCCGGAGTTCTTCTTTAAACCAATCCCCCGCTCTCTTTGACGTCAACGATAACAACGTCTCCATGGCTAAATGTCCCGTCTGCGAGAAAAAGACAATGCACAATCAGTCTGAGAGATATTATAAAAAAAATACATTCCATGCAGCTATAATGACACCATTATGCAAATGTGAAAGTTCTATTTGCAGAACAGAACATTAAAACTAATGTAAATCGAGGGTGTGAAATTCAAAGAAACACGACTTGATAATATTAGACAGTCTAATGGCTCAAGCAAAAACATTAAAACAAGTAAACATAATACATTAGTAAAGGGTGTTTTAAATTAAAGTTAAGAGATAACATCTTGTAGAGGGTTTAATCATGGTGCTTTAGTGTGCAAAAGTCTAAGTAGGCGTTCACACAGGATCTGCTGTGTTCAGTTTGTGTATTTTTAATTGCTGGCCTATGGGCACATGCTCCAGATGGATGTCTTTGACAAGTAAGTCATGTCTCTGTGGTTTTTGAAAATGCTGATGTTGAAAAAAAAAACAAAGTACAACTCAACTTTTAAAATCCTTGAATTCCATTTCTTTCTGATTACTTTTCTGACTGCTTACAAAAACTACACTGTCAACAGCATGTTAAACCTTCTCCAAGAAAGTCGATAAAGAGTCCAATTTTTTAATTTTTAACTAATATTAGTAATTTTCGAGTGAACTAGGGATGTGAATAACTGCCAAAAGTGGCATTCGAAAATCGAGGAGCAAGTCGATTATCATTCGAAAATCTAAAAAAAGAAAGGGAAAAAAAAGCACACTCACAATAACAGAAAGGGTGGCCAAAGGTCAATTTCATCTTTAGTGATTTATCATCAAACAAACAAAATATTTATTAATCAAACAAGTAACATGTTTTCGTCGTTTTTTTAACATGCCGGTAGTTAACAGAATAAAAAAAACAAGCACGACAGTCCGTTTTTGCATCAACAAACAAGATGCTCGTTAGTAGTGTTGTCACGGTACCAAAATTTCAGTATTCGGTACCAATACCAGTTAAAATTCACGGTTCTCGGTACCAATTTCGGTACCAAAGCTTAGTTTAAATTTACATATATTTAAGTGTTTATCACGGTTACAAGTATGGAAACTGTACATTTGTATTATAAACACTTTAAAAAAAGATTAGATAAAATGACCTAAAATAAACAATAGTATACACTAACACATTTTTAAAGTTGTTTGTAAAGTTTTAATCCATTATTTATTTAATGCACAATGAATTAAGTGAACAAACATGAACAATCAGGTGTTTGTAATATATAACATTTTCAAACATTAATTAATGTTGTAAAAATATATTGTTCACTCAATGCGTTGATAACTAAGTAATGTTGATGAATGGTATCTTTGTAGCATTACCATAAAACATGTTTTATTTGACTTGACTGTCCTTTTATTTAATCTAAAACTGCATTCATATTTAATTTTTAAAAGGCTTTTTAAACCTGCTGAGTTATAAAGGCAAGAATACGCCTAGAACTGGCACTGACATTAAATGACAGTACTAATACCAGTAGTACTCTGGTGTCGGGTGGATACTACTGTGCTCATGTACTCGTAAAACTACCCCGAAAGCACTTTAGAGGCCGTTCACATGTCGCGCGTGTTTTTTAATTATATTTTTGCGCGTGCTTATTCTTTCCAAAGCGCTTGCTCTCACGCGGCGTCTGTCGTTGCTATGCAACGCCAACGAGTTTTTATTATGAGCGCGCTTGAATCGCGCCTATATTTGAAATTGCGAATTTGCGAATGTAATCGGCCTCTTATGGCAACGTGACATTAGCCTAATCCAAAATATTTCCATATGTGTCTCTTTCCTCCTTTCGTTTCAACAAGTGGATTCAGAGAGAGAGAGAGCCATATCAGCGTTATAAAGAGGACGCAACTGTGCACGTTTCAGACATCGCGTCTAGAACAGAACTGGATTAACCTGGTACTCGGTACCTAGAAAAGCTGGTACCGTAACATTTTTTTTTTTTTTTAGTACCGACTTGGTACCGAAGTACCGAGTTTTTTGACAACACTACTCGTTAGGTAAAAAAATAATGTCATATGTCAATGATTTTATGTGAACCTGCACTGTTACTGCAATAGCTTACTTTTTAAACAAAATTAGTTTCAATCAACGTTATTCGTGTGATGTCACTGCACAATACACACACATTACCACGGGATAGCGGGGGTTTCATTTCATAAATTGTGGACAATGGTAGCTTATTTAAAGTAGCCTATAAATTAATGTATGCATGTCATAAACATAATTAATGTATGTCCAAAAAAATGTCACCAATAATGTCATCATACTTGTAGTATTGCTTTTGTCACCTAATAATCTGTTTGGTTGTAAAATGTATTACCTCAATTAAATGAACTCAATGTATCGTCCTGTGGAATCATTCATTCACAGACAGCATGCGAAGATGTTCAAACAGATCTTCATCGCAGGCAAAAATATGATGCATTTGCAGATTTGCTATCACTAGACTGAACTGTAGGTCCACGGCCAATTTATTCAACGCTCTTAATGTACTTAAATCTTCCTGTTACGACTCCGAGTCGAGTGTGAAATAAAGCGCTTCAGATTCAGTGTGTGCAGGAAATTGAAGAGATCAGTCAAACTAATTCGCGAACCGATTTAGACAGATGTGACAACTTTGTTTGATGAAGTCTTTGAACAGAATCGACTCATTTGTAGAGCGGTTAGAGTGATTCATTTGTAAACTGAGCATCGCTCATGCCCATAAAAGACATAGCGCGCTTGGAATAAACTACGCATTTAACAACATGTATTGCATTAAAATAAAGTAACGAGAGGAACGTCGCCCTACGTAACAAAGTAAATGTAGCCTACTTTGTTACTATAGATGGTTACTACCAGTAGGCAGTAAAGGTTACTATCCACCTCTGTTAACGGTCACAGCAATGCTCTTCTTCTGTTGTTTGTCCTAGGTCACACAGTAAGGGGTTTCAAGGTGTCATGTTAGAGACGCCTTGCGTCCCCGACAGGAAAATACACTGCTGTGCAATCTATGACAGTAGATTCAATTATGTCACATTGGAATTGCGCGAAAATATAACGATATTCGAAAAAGCAATTTTATGATTGAATTTCGAACGCAGTTCCGACTATTCGAAGATCGTAACTCGTCCCTAGAGTGAACTATTCCTTTAACACAGAGACTAAAGTTAAGAGAGAGACAATCCACCAAATAATAGACTTTAAAAACATCCCTAGAATGCACAATCCAAGCTATGAAGTGCATCCACTAGGAGCAGAAACTGAAGCTTGCGTTCATTTGGAGTTTTCAGAAATCTCTCAGCCGCATGGTCTATCACAAATGCAGAATAATAAAAAGTTTGCAAATGGAAACACAGAACTACAGCACTGCTGAAAGAACATCGCCTAATAAACAAGCACAAGATGATCTCAAGCTCACCGTGATATTCTCCAAGTCGAGATGCTTATTGTGGACGGTTTCACAGAGTTTGCGAATCTTTTCTTTCACTTTGTTCATCTCTTTTGTCGTCAACTGATCAGCAATGGATTTGTCCAGTTCTAATTCCAGTAAACGAATCATTAGATCCAAACTGGCCCGATCCAGGTCCATGTTCAAGCGGTCTCGGCTGAGAATGTACATAAGAGAGGCTGTACACAAAGCTAGATTCTGAGGAAGGAGGAAGGACAGCAAAGTAGAACAGATTAAATGTAAGAAATCAGCCACTAAGATTTTAGGGAAGTCAAAAGTCTGGACTTACTGAATGTTGAGGTGCATCACTGAGAGTTTTAAAGACCTGAGCCACTTTCCCACGAGCCCTCAGGTGCATCCTGAAACTGGGCATGGCGCATCTTGTGGCCAAACTAATAACACTGCACAAGGATTGTAATGAACAAACATTAGGTCATAGCTTACATATTGGACAATGGTCAGAATATACAGTGAGGAATGATTTCTGCACCTAAGGCAGCGTGTGTTAAGGGGTTGACCAGTCTTCAGACCAGTGGCAAGATACTCAAAGTCATCGGTGAACTCCTGATTCTCACCAAACTCTACCACGTCATTGAAGTGTTTCACATGCTGGACAACGGTGTACAACTGTAGAGAAACAAAAAGCATGTTGCTGGTTATTTTATGGGCTCAGTTACCATCTACCAGTGCAACAGAGCCCAGTATTTCAAAGCTACAAGCAGTGTTAATTAGAGGTCGACCGATTCATTGGTTTTGCCGATATATCAGTACCAAAAGTTGATTGGTGGAACGATCGGGATATCGGCAAAAATCCACACCGATAATTTTTCTTGGTTGCGTCCGTTGCTGGAGCAGCTGAGATGTGCGCACGGCCATTACGCAGCACGAGAGCACTGAGAAGAGACTGCTGGCATTATACACAGTAAGAGCGGCCTTTAGAGGACACGTGAGGCAGCGCGCAGTACAGAGAGCGCCGACACTTCAGATGTGCATTTAAAACACTGACAGCAAAACAGTATGAATACAGAACACTAAAGTGCATATTGCCATAACATCATAAAAGTAATTCATTTATTGACTAGATGCTGCATTAGCAGAGAAATAACAGCAGTATGTTTGCGGTCGAATCTGAGAGGAATATCATTAGTAACAGCTACCTCAAGCGATTAAAGTAATGTGACAAACACACGCAGACCTGACCCAAATAATTTATGTCGCAATTTTTACCATCTATTTACATTAGTTTATATCCAGGTGGTCACTTTTATGCATTCATTAGCTGGCAAAGTTGCATATTTAAAGCTAGTGACGCTTTAAATTGCTTTCTCAACATTGATATGTTCATGCAGCCGATAGAAACATAGAAAAAAAAAATCAGAAACGCATTCGATTTCATTTTTTTAATCACTTATATATTGTTATTTTGATTAGATAAATCAAGTGTTCTAAAAGAGAAGCAAATAAAGAGACTGTACATCTAATATAGGTCAACATATTAAGATGCTTATACTGTCATGCTTAAAGATGACCATATTTAAATAAACTGCAAAGGCCATAACTGATCGAATGATATAGCATTAATATATCATTCGAAAGCATTAATGTTATGGCCTTTGCATTTATTTAAATAAGCATGCATTCATTTTTAAGCATGACTCTTTGGATTTATATGAAATGGTAAAGCTTTACAATAAGATTCCATTTTTAGCATTAACTAATTTTAAGTGTTGTAGAAGTATTATTCACTGTTTGTTAATTTCAACATTAAGCAATACATTTTAAATTGAGTTTTAATTTGATCTGTAATTACCTTAGTTAATGTACATTTCAGTTCAGCACTGTTTTACTTGGAGTCTTACTTTTGTTTTTAATCCAGTATTTTTTTTTTCCATGATTTTTTTTATTTTAAATGATAACGATACAACACCATTATTTTATTTCAGTTATTAAAAATAGTAACAAGAAATCAAATTACAAACAATAGGACAAATGCAATACAACAATGATACATGTTGTTCAGGTAACGTAGATTTATTTAACCTTCAACAGAAATTGAATAATGAAATGAAAAAAAAAACACATTGCATTTTCTTCACTGTGTGAATGCATATAGATTGATTCTTATTAAATATATCAAAGTTATTCACTCAAAGAGCAGTGAGTGATTGTCTTTGTTTTTTGTTGTTTGATTAAAATTAATGACACAGATGGCATCAGGTTTATTAGGCTGGTATCTCCTTAAGACCTAATGCTTGGATCTAATATACTGATACCAAGCGTGCTGCACAAGCCCTGAAAAGTGAAGCCAAAACAACGTTTTCAATATTTGAGAACCAATTTTAATGGTATTGGTACAGTCTACAGAAATTTTGGTATCGTGACAACACTAGCTACTCCAATTACGGTCATATTAAAAATTAATTATTTAAAAGGCAGTTTTCTGTAGCAGATTAAGATTTGTTCCACAGGGCCCATGCAAAGAAATGTAATTTCCCAAATATTGCATGCTACGCTTCATTTTTCACTGATAATGTAGACATACAAGCTAATAGAAAGACCTCAAATCAGAGTTATAACAAAACAAGAGCACCGTCTTATTTGTTATAACTGTTTGGGGTCTGAAAACTGCATAAATGTAGAAGAATCCTAACAGATTACACGTTTGGCTTTGATGAAAACCAAACCATTCATTCAGTGTGTGGGCAGAGTAAACGGTGAGGGTTGTAATGTAGGTGGGCTTGCACAACTTTCTAACTGTTTAACACCAAAAATAAGAATTACTCTACAGAACATCAGTGGATGCCATCAATAGGTATTTATGTTTTATTAAAACAGCTGCATTACTTTGTATGCATAATTAATAGAGCTTTATGCCTTCATCATTGGTTCCATGCCACTGAATTTCAAATTAAATTGAAATTCAAATGCCAAATGTTCAAATGTCTAGAGGATTATAAATGTCTTAACGCAGTAGTTAAGCCACACCTACAGTAATAAAGAATCAGCTTTTTATTTTATTCTTTGTTTAACACGTACGTCCCAGCCCGAGACAAAGGGTCCTGTTGTACCATCTTATTGGTGGCATTGGGCATGAACTATCTGGATTTGTGTTATCAAAATATAGATTTTGATAGTGATTTTGAATATTTCAGTTCCAGTACTCATTTTAAGCATCTCAGATAAGCTCGGTTTACAGTAAATGCAGCAAACTAATTAGGAATCCAATGAGCAACAATTACAATTTATTTTCACATAATTTCAAACATTTTTTTGAGGACTGGTTACAACATTTTATGCTTTTCACACACACACACACACATCACAACATTTTATTTGTGACTCTTATTTTGACAGTGCTGAGTCAGAGCCTGAGCATAAAGTGCTCACATTCACCATGTTCATTAGTTTACGATTTGTCAAATAGTCCTATCTAACATGTTATTAGATAGATCTATTATACATAGAAAGTAGATAGTAATGAAAAGTTAGTGGCGTTTGCTGTTTGGATGATGTCCAGTGTTGCTAGCTGAGCAGAAACAATCATATTTGACTTGGTCCCCTCAAAAATGCGTTGGATTAAGCGTAAAGGTTAAGAAGCCTATCTATCACGGTTTCATGTTCGTAGAGTTGGTTTATAGAGTAAATAGACTTGAATTTGTAATCTTTTTGAAAATAGTGGGTGCTGGTGTTTCGCATGTATTCAGCCAATCAGCATATACTAATGCCACGGATAGTTACTAAAGTGCTGGTTCAGACCCTACTATGAAGTAGGAGTTAAATTAGTTCCTCCAAAAGCAGTTCCTAGAACAAAAATCATTCCTAGTTCTTGGTGTGAACACGCAGAAAACCGGGAACTTCTGCCAATAGCTCTAGGAACTATGAATAATGTTCCTCTGGTGAGAAAGCCCCTATTAGTTTAAAGTACTGGGCAAGTATCAGTGTTTCCCATTCATTAACTAGACTGGTGCTTTTCCATTACCAGTCCCAGCTGGCATCATCATAACGATGCCTTTCGTTCCTAGTTTCCCCATCAAGCTCTCGCTGGATCCTCTCTTCGGCAGTTAAAAAAAAAAAAAAATCATATATTGTGATTTCTGGATTTTTTTTTTTTTTTAGATTATGTCTCTCACAGTGGACATGCACCTATGATGACTATTCCAGACCGCTCCATGATTTCTAAGAGATATATACACACACACACACAACTTGTTTTGACAAAGACTTTCTTTTCAAAGTGCACCAGATTGATGTGTGTAAATTTAAAAGGCATTATATTTTTGTTATTGAGCATATATAGACTCCCATTGAGGGACAGAGGTTAACACCCCACCCCATACTCTTACAAAAACCTGTGGAACTTTCCCAGTTCCCAAGTTCACATATTTTGTAAAAACTTAAAAATAATATTTAACTGGATTAAACATGCACGATTATGGTCAAAATGATTATCACGATTATTTTTTATCAATATTGAGATCACAATTAGCCCTCAATGAGGTCATAAGGTCTATACGACCCCAATCGACTTTTACTTAACAAAAGAAAAGGTTCCCTTCATCTCAGTGGAATAAGATTTTGTGACTTTTCATACATTATCTATCTATACACACACACAAAAAAACTGGGCTTGATTCGGTTGTTCTGAAGGTATGTAAAAGAAAAAAAATGTTTACACTTCTGGTCCAGAAGTGTAAACAAGAAACAAAGACCATTTGAAGGTTAATTATGATTATTTGTTGATTTTAACCAAAACAAATTGTCACATTGGCTAATTATATCTGCTTTCACATCCATATTGCGCTACATTCCTGATAATGTACAAATATGTGCATCAAAATAAAGCAGGTCCTCTTATTCACCAAAAATCAGTGCATCTCCTTAAAGAATAAAGAAAATAAAGAAAACAAAGAAAAGTAGCAAAACTTCAACAGAGCACTGTTTTCCATTTTAAATTGTTTAAATATATTTTAAGAAGTAAAATATAAACTTGCATTATACCTAAATAAAATGTATGTAAATAAAACTCTAAATATACAATTGATAAAAAGCAAATATTCCATAACCGAATGTTACCAAATGAGAACATTTCAAGGCAGAATTATACACTATGCAAGTTCGATTAATGCAGGGGTGTCAAACTCATTTTTACCCCGGGCCACATCAGCATTATGGTTTGCCTCAAAGGGCCAGTTGTAACTATAAAACTGTGTAAATGCAGCTACTACTTAACATATTGTTAAATAACTCTCTCTGCATTTGTCATCCAGGTGGATGCTGCACATTAGTGGTGGTTGAGGTGATTCCCCCTTCAATGTAAAGCGCTTTGAGTACCTAGAAAAGCACTATATAACAAATTATTATTATAAAATTATTCGATTTGATAACTATTTATTCAAGTGTACAAATACAGCAAATGCATTCAAATAAATGTAAAATATATGTAAGCATATTGCTCTGTGTTATTATAACATAAATGTATCTAATTTATTTAATTTATCAGGTTAAGAAAAGATCATACTTGTCAAGTGAATAACAAAGGCAAATATCATTAAACACAAGTTATCAACACAAGTATATCAACTTTGTTCAAAATTTTGTCACAGTTGACAGGGACAGAACTATCGGTCCAACACATACAGTATTGTATTTTCCACACTTTAAGGTGCACCGGATTATAAGGCGCACGCGCACCATTAATGAATGACCTTTTAGGACATTTTTCATATAAAGGGCGTGCCGGATTAGAGTGGAGTACTGTAGGCCTACTGTCCTCACTTAAATCAGTCAGACCCGGGGCGCGTGCGAGTGGAAGCGAGATCGAGTGGGATTCTTTATTGGTGTCGATTTTCAGTCTCTTTTTAATTATAGGACTTACACATCTGTCAATCATGTCCGCTTGCAATTTGGGGAATGAACCCAGCGCTATGATTGGTCGAACTCTTCTCTTGCTGTTGCTTTATTGGAGGACTGCGCGTGCAAATAGGCGTCACCAGGTTTTTGCGTAGTTTAGAGTGACAAATCGTACCAGCGTACTTTGAGGTCAAAATGCGTGCCCACTACGCAAAATGCGTACATGTTGGCAGGTATGCATATATAAGGCGCTCCGGATTATAAGATTCGTGCGGAAAATGCGGTACTTTATTTTAAGACAATCATATACCTTTTGAGCTCACAGGCCACATAAAATGACAGGGCGCGCCGAATACAGCCCGCGGACCTTGAGTTTGACACATGTGGATTAATTGGTAAAATTCAAAGTCATCAGCTATGTTTACATCCACACGTTTTTATCCGAATTAAGTGATATCGAATGAAAAATACCTTATGGAAAAAGTAAAATTTGATTGAATTTCATGAATAGCGACTCGAATGAAATACATTTGGCCTCATCGGTTTTTATCTTGATCGATATACGGCTTATGCGATAAAAGCTGATGGAAACGTTATTTGCCGAATAAATAATGAATTGCCGGCCAGTATTTCCGCTCTGTTTGTGCACACATGGCGGGTGTCAACAAAGACAAGTGGACAAAGCAAAAAAAAAAAAAAATGCTTCAACCAAAGTGTTTCCGTGAGGTGTCTCTGAACCACGATCTCCCAGAACTGTCTGGAGAGCTGTCGTTCCCACACCAAAGGCCGCCTCCATTGTCGTCGGGCATTTACGGGCATCTGCATCATCATAGCAATGGCAATCCATAGAAAAACAGAGCATTACCATTGACTCAGTTCAGAGACGGAAGAGACTATTTTCTTTAGCAGAAGCAATACAATCGTTTTTAAATCAATAAACTCCTTAAGGAATATTTTGGGTCAAATTACTGATTTATTTGGTAGGTAGCCATGTAATAAGCAGGATAAAAAGAGGCGGTTGTTATAGCGAATACAACCCCTTCAGGCTCACAACCGCCTCGCTATACATTATCCCTTACATATGTCGCTATTAGCTGGCACTAAGCATTATTAGGCTACAATTTTTGAAATATTGATCATTTGTTGGTAGATGACGCAATCCATTTTGTCCAGTAAAACTTTGTTCGCAAATGTTTGCTTGAATGTTCAAAGTCAAGGTAAACTTTATTATCCACAAGTAGGAAATTAATATGATTACCATTACACGCTCCATTGTTAAATTTACTTGCTGCGTACAAAATATAAACATAAATACAAAAGCATTAGATACAAAACAATTAAAACATTTAAACATCAAAATATGACAAAAAGAAAAACAAGTACAAGACAAACAAAACAACAAAATCGTAGAAACGAAGAACTAAACGTCAAAGAAAGATTAACTAAATGCTCGCTGATTGTCTTGCAGTCTAATCTCTGTAAATACAAAAGAATTGCTGTACCTTTGCCGTTGGATGGAAATACATTTCACCAGCTTTATTCGCAAGAATTTTTTTACCGAACTTCAGATAATTCGATTGACAAGTGGATGGAAACTTGGCAAGTGTTATTTGACGTTTAAGAAACTTTGCAAAAGGAAAAAATAAATAATTATACGCCGTGTTAAATATTGTTCAATCACGCGAATTTGATCGTGGGAAGCCAAAATCATGATCGTGATTAGGGTTGTGCCGATAGACGATAGTATCGTGTATCGACGATAGTCTGAGATATCGCGGATGGCAGATGCCTTTGACGATATCAATACGATAATTGGCTCGTTTTACCATAATGTATTAAATTATTATTATTAGGCCTATTATTATTATAAAGCTAGTATTGTTATTAAATTAATATTAGGAACTACAATTCATTTGCCTTGCCTAAATTTACAATCATCCTCATAACAATTGCAACAACACCGACACCCACTAATGAGGACTCCTCTAAGAGAATGTTTTTAAAACAGACTAAAAAACATCCCACATCAAAATTTAATTGCAAGGTGATCCATTCACAAATTATCAAGTGTGCTCGTTTTAACAGACGCAAAATTCAATTTCCTACAGATCCAAGATGAAAACGGCATCGTTGTTCGTCAGTAGGCTATTTGTTTCCGTAACACATTAACAAAACGTTTAATGACACTAACACTAAAAACAATAAAATTACTAAATAGTATTAATAATAATAATAATATCACTAAAATAGTATTATATTACCGTTATCATCGTCGTCTCTGAGGGAACACGGCGTTAATGCAGATGGCGAAAGCAGTCCGTTTTTTGACTTTCACTTTCAGAGATTGAGCGCGTTTACATGCGACGACGTTCTTAACCCGATAATGTTGAATAAACTTGACGATGCATGTGGTCATGTAAACGCATGAACCCGTTTTCCTTTATCAGAGTCAAGTCATAAGTATAAACCGATCGACTCAGCTAGACGTTTGGCCCTTGCTCTGGTTTCTCCCGGCATTTAAAACACATTAACCCGCGTACTTCGTGCTTACTGAAGTGCGCATGTGAAGTGCGTCCAGACAGAGAGCGCACTGGTAGGGGAACACATGTCGCAAACTCCGATTCTTTCTGACCCAAGAAATTATTAAAACGTGTTTTCATCTCGTGCAGAAATATGCCCTAGTCAAAATGCTGCATGTAACGGCATGAGGATAGGCTAATGTGTTCGTAAATTTCCCGTTGACAAACAAAAGGATTAGGATCTTTTTTTTTACCTCACTATACCAGGAAATAACCTGATCCTATTAATAAACACTCCACCTTTGCTAGCAAAATAGAAAAAAGATTCTCGTATATAAAACGAAGTAGGCTAATAAAACAAGCAAATTAATGAGTAGGCTAAATAATCAAGTTAATAATCAAATAAGTTAGCCCCGCCCCCTCACGATAATATCGTGTATCGCCGATCTCACAGGCTGGCGATAGGACGATATGAAAATGGAGCATATCGCCCAACACTAATCGTGATTAAAATCCGATTAATCGTGCAGCCCTAGCGTCAAGTGTTTGCACTCACCTCTTTGTGTTCTTTCCTACATTTGAGAGCAGTGACCATGTCCTGGTAAGGTTCTGTGGGGATGGTGGTGGACTTGGTGACTTTGGGAGGAGGGGCTGGAGCTTTGAACACTCCGTCGTCCTTGTTTGAGTTCGACTCTTTACTGCCTCCTGATGAAACAGCCTGTGCAAAAATGACTTAGAATTAAATCATAACATGTTTGGATGCACTGGCAGAGTTGATTCACATACACCATGAGCTGCCAACAACCAACCCACTGCTGGTTATGTAACATGATGACTAAAGATGGGCTACAGAACATTATAAATTCCTCATGCAGCAATGGCTAAAAGGCCAACTCCACAACCAACAGCAAAGCTGCTAAATAAAACGCTTCCAAGATGGCCAAGCGCCACATCCTTGAATGAATAATGCATTGTTTTGAAAACTTGTTCATAGGAACAGAGCAAACGGAGGTGCTGAGCTAATGAGAATGCTTACAAACAGTTTAAGTGAAGTGTAAGCATATCTGTCAGTGTGCTCTTAATATTACAGTGGGCTTCACTGGTGACAGCAGATGCAGGCTGCCTAAATTGTGTGGGATTGATTGCGTTTATATGGCAAATGTAGACAGCGAGGATGAGATTGTTAGTAGAGTGACAAGTGCATAATGGGGGGAGTGTTTGCACAAAGCACTAAATAAAAATTCACCCCATTTGCTTTAATACACATTTCTGGTTTTAATGTGAGTGGAATGATTCTAAAGGCTCAGTTATTAAAGAAAAAATGCTTGTTTCGGAATCATTCATTAAAATGTAATAACTTGCTTCACCTCGGAAAATACTTCACCAGTCTACTATTTAATGTAAAAAAAAAAAAAAAAAAAAAAAGCTAAAATATAGAAACAAGCTGACAACTGTAATTGCAATGTGAACACAGCCCAAACATGCATAAAGGATAGGCAGAATAACTTGGCGCATATATATCTATGGACTCGGGGCAGTAATATCATCACTCTGGAGAGGGAGAGGATTTCACACGAGTGATGAGATTACTATGCCGAGTCGAAGTGCTCCCAAGCACTTGCTGTGGTATTCCACCATACATTATAGTTATCCACTTTACATGCTTAGAAAAGTGCAACGTTTTATTTTGAGTCACCATTCTTGGTTGAGTTACTCTACTCCTGTAACTGTATTTAAACAGGGAAAACGTGGAGGTGTTTGGTCGCTTCTCTGCTTGGCCCCTATTGAATGAACGGGGCTAAGTTAAGTGCGATCAAAGCGTCTTGCGCACCAGAGCGATGAGACGAGAGAGAGGTATGTATCAACTAGAGCCAGATCGATATATTGGCCGGCCGATATTAGGTATTTTCCAAAATATCGGTATCGGCAGTTATAATGGCCGATAAATGAATATTTAAAAAATAAAAATGGAAAAAACACGCTTCAATCATCTCTCCTTGGCCTGTTATATTGAAAAAGTATGTTTTACAATTTGCAGTATGAGGTTATCTTTTGCTAAATTATGGCTCATCATAGACTAGCTAACCACAAAGCTAGCTAATGCCACTATCATCAGTGGAAGACCGCTAACGTTAACATTAATGAGCTTGGAAACAACAATGAACTTTTTCTGCCTAAATAAAGTAATTATTACTGTATTTATAACTAGCATATCTCTAGTTACAGTCCCTGCATTGTAAAATGTAAGTTATACTTTCGAGGAGTGAACATTTAGACACAGAGAAAAACTATCAAACATATCTTTTGCAGAAAAGTAAGCTTTTCTATTACACGTGTGTGAAATCCAACAATATTTAATAAAAAAAAATAATAAAAATACCGGCCGATATATCGGATTTTAAAACCCAAAAATATTTGTATCGGTATCGGCCTTCAAAATCCTTTATCGGTCGGGCTCTGGTATCAACTCATCTTAGTTAAGGGAATAACAGTTTAATATGAAAAACGGTGGAGTATCCCTTTAAAGATTAAGAAAAAAGACCTAAGTAAACAATAGGCTTTACAATTACTTAAAATACATACAGGTTCAAATAATAATTATAACAATGAGGCAACAATATCAGGTTGAAAGTATCAAAAGCAAGTAATTATGTTTTTTGAACAACACTGTTAAAATACATAATGTAATTTACATAATATCTAAAAAAGTCTATTCATTCATTATTGTATTATGACAAATACCTGAAGTGTGTGCCAATGACCTAATGATTTTTGTTTGTTCCTTGTTTAATTATTGCTAAACATCACTTAATTAAAACGTCCACTTAATCTTTAATATTTGGCAACTTCTTTGCGAAAAATGTCCGCCCAATAGAAAAAAGTTCACCAATAAAAAAAAAAAAAATAAAAAAAAAATAGAGGGAACAATGGCACACAAATCAAAACCCATATCTACAGGAAACAGGTTTATTCAACTTTTTTTTCCATGATGCCACAAATGTTTTATTAAAATTGAGACAGAGAGCATATAAATTAAGACCTACTGTAATGCACAGATCTAATATAATCTTTTCTTAATTTAATTTTTACGCAGCAGTTAAACAAAGGTTCATTTAAGACAGAGAATCTTGGCGAGTATTTACACTAACATTGTCTGTTAAAGTGTATATCGGAATCGAGCGCTGTCTGAGGGGCGTCTCTGTGCTCACGCTTTTGATGTGTTAGTTGGTGCGAGTAAGATTGTTTTGTTTACATCAGCATGAGTTTGAGAATCAATGTTGCGCTTTACAACGATACCAAACTTGTACTGAGGGGAAGCACCAATCGTTCAGAAGTGAGCAGAGAAAAACAAATTGTTCATGGATTATTAAAACAAAGGAAAGATTTAGGAAGGTATACCTTTAATGCTACGTTCACACCGGACGTGAATAGGGCGTCAGGCGTGAATGATTTCAATGTTAAGTCAATGCAAAGATGCTTTACGCGTGTGAAAAATTCCTGCGGCGCAAATGAGGCGTGGAGCGCGGCGCGGAAGACGCTAATACGCCTCATTCGCGCGTCAAGTTCGTGCGAATGGCACGAATTGAGCGTCTGGCGCGTTACGCGCGAATGATTCAGTTAGTGCCATTTGTGCATTCACTCGTTTGACGCGAATTCGCGTCTGCCGCCCGAGTTGAAAAATCTGAACTTTGGCGTGAATTCGCGCCGCGTTAACCAATCAGGAGCCTAGCTGCTTGCTCACGTGATGAAGTGTCTGGATGCTTCAATCAATTAGTTTGTAATATGACTAAATGCATGGTGGGATTATGCACAACAAAGCAAATGTTTTATCACTTAAAACATTATTTCTATATACGAGACATGTTCATTTTGTATTGAATGTTATTCATTCCATATCTAGATTATATGAAATAGTATTATGTTGTAAAGACAATCAACATATGTGCATAAATTCGTGTCTGGACGTGAGAGAGAGAAAAAAAAATATAAATAAATAATAATAAAAAAAAACACAGGACAGGTTAATAACTTTTGAAGGCTGGCTCTATTTATCATCAAAACAAAAATAAATGACAGAGATTAGATGGATGAGAGCGAGGGTGATCCTTACTCCGATACGGGACAACAGGTCATCAAACTGGGCGCGTGACAGGCGGAAGTACCGCTGACAGCGGCCGTCATCCAGCGCAGCTCCTGGAGCGAGAAAATGGTGAAACTCGCCAAATGGTTCGGCTCCGAAGGGTCGGGTGGACACAAATATACGGCGACGATGATCCCCACGCCGCTGTTCTGCTCTCCAGAGTAAATACAGAGCGGTAACTCTCTTGATGAATGCTCGGTCGACATAAAAACAATGGCCGCCAACGGATTTCGATTCTGACGCGCGTAAATTTCGCTTCAAACTTTTGTTTTTACGTGCGCCAGTTTCGTTCGACACGCAAATTAACACAAAGTGGTCAAGCGTCAAACTAGACGAGTCAGGCGCGAATTTGACGCGCGATGCGTGTCCGGTGTGAACGTAGCATAACAAAAAGTACGAAAAAAGATCTTTTTTAAGGTGTTTAATTACCTTTTGGAGCATTGGTATCATTAGACGAGAGCTTATTTTGAAAACCTAAAACTCGACCAAAATTGACATTTTCACATGTAGCTAGTAAGAAGTACTGTATGTGCGCATTACGATTCATTTTGCCAGCATGAGTCACATATAATTATATAATTTCTGAATATTAGTCATTATTTAATTTATTTGGTTTTAGTTTGTTTGCATTTTCCATTTGCCAGTAATTTCAGTGTCAATTTAATTACATTTGTTTAGAGCTTGGTGTTTAAAATAATTGTTTAGAATAAATTCCACAATAATTTATATTTCATTTCATACTTATCACACCGATGCGATTAGACAATGCAATTTTGACGCGATGCGACCGTCAGATGAGGATCAAATAATTTAAATATGTTTTTATCCTCCACAATCCACTGCAAATTCCAGCCAATTAATTCTTGATGAATAAAATCAAGTCTCTCCATAAAACATCACAAAACTAAATTAAAGCGGAAGGTGAATTTCATTTCATATTGACTTTAACAGCTGAGTTTTGGCGCAGAGCTATTACTGTTCAACACTGAGGGAACACCAAAGCAGAAATGTCTGGAGTGCTATCATTAAGGTAGGAGATTTCAAACAAAGGTGAAAATAAAAATTGTGGTGATAATATGAGAAGTGCTTTCTAAAGTGGACTACGTCTGTGTGTGTGTAGTAGTTGAGGTGTTCAGTGGAGAAGCCTGTGCCTGGTGTTATACTCACTGGAGGAGCTTGAGATCGTGATGGAGGCGTGGGTAGCAGTTCTTCTGGCTCTGGATGGTTCCAGTGTCTTGCATTATACACAGCTTTAGTAGGCGACTGTGGAAAAAACAGACAAACACTTTTACTGAGGGCATTTTTATACAGGAGCTTATTCCAAGGTTAATTTAATGCCTTCATTGTCTTTGCTCTTTGGGGTCATTAGGTTTGGGTGACTTGTATCAAGGACAACACCCCCATTTTAAGTTTGAACAGAAGTACTACTTTTCCCTTATGTCAGTTTCACTGGAAAAAAAATAAAATAAATAAATGTGCACATCATTTTATCAGTGGGCCTCACAATGTGAAACAACATTGTTTTAAATATGTTTTTGGCCTTTTTTTTCCTGCCATGTCATAAAACTGCCATAAACCAGACATGTCATGACACAGTAAAGGGTATTTTTTGTCCTAACCAGCCACGACAGTGATAGGCGATGGGCAACAGGGGATTCGATTTTTTTAGTTTCAAACAGAGATCCCGATTCTGAACAGACAATTAAACAATATAAGTTTTCACTAGAGGTTCTGACAAAACGTTGCAAAATTGCTGCCAGTCTATTTAATCTGAATTAATTATTTTAATAAACATATTGATTGAATGATTCAATGACATGCATAAATACTTTGTTTCATTACTGGATGAATCAGCGTTTTTTAATGAATCTCTTAATTTTTCAATCTCTTAATGATTCAATGAATGGCATACATTTTTGGTGGTGTAACAATATATGTATTTGTTATTTGAAGCACCAAGATACTTTCAAAAGGTGATTTGCTCTATTTTGATCGTAGCTACTGTAGACATCAGTGTTTATATCGGAAATGTAAACTTTTATGCCAAGTACTTCTGTGATGATAATAATATTTGTAATTTGGTTGAAAAGACTGTTTGTGAATCTGTTTCATACCTACATACTGAACATAACTGCTCTATCTGGATTCAGTGGCAGTGTGAACAGATTTGATACAAGTGAATCATTGTCATTTCGGACTGTGGGTGTTTGAATTGAAATCGCGATTCAGCTCTACTGAAATGTCTTCTATAATCTTAAAATGGTTTGTTCTGAACACCCATTATGAAAGCGACAATTCACCTCAGATGTTGAAAATACATTAAAAAAACAGTAATAACGAAGTGTGTTCCATGCCAAATACTTTATCAGGTCACTCAGTATGTATTTTGAGCTGTATTTTTCAAGACTCGGCAAGAGCAGCAATGCACCGCAATACTGAAACTGATACTTCACTTCATAGATGGCATCGATGGCATTTATTTAATGCACTGACGGCATTCATGGGGAATAACCGTAAACATTAAAAGGATGAAAAGAAAAAGATTTTGCTATCATTAGACATGGCAAACTTATTTGTTTGTTTTATGAATATATGACTTCAAGACGATCTCCCCATGATAAACAGGTTCTTATCATTAACTTATTTAATATTATATACATACATACCATAAATATATAGTTCAATTTAAAGATTTTTTTTTAATAGAAAAAAGCGGTTCTTTAAAATGTCATCCATCGTCCTTTTTGTGGCTCATTTTTTTTTTTTTTTAAGTAATGGTTTGGGTACCTGCACCGTTATAAAAGTATTGATTTGGCCCCGGTATCATAAAAAAAAAAATAATAATCCCAAACGATACCCAACCTTAGGACTTTTTAATAATACTCATTTTATGTACTGTTAAAAAAATTATTTAGTGGCAAGTTCTAGACATCAGTGCGCTCAAAAGCCATTGAAGAGTTGCGACACTCCCATAGGGGCTGTTTTCATGCATTTTCTGTGATTGGATAGCTATCTTGAGGTGGTAGTCTGGGCCGCATTCCAGACAAAAATGGATAAGTGTAAATGCATCTGGGTATTGAAACCACATTTTTAAAATTTTACTCCTCCAAAAAATTATAAAAATAAACGCGTGAGAGCGTATTATATAGGCTATATGTCATGTTATGACGACGCTACTGCGACACGCATCACCTCTGATGAGCAGCTGAGTCTCTATCCATCAAGCCAACATGCAAAGTGTCGCAGACACTTAACACAACCATCTTCATTAAAAGAAAAGAAACAAAATGATCTTTCCAGTTCTGTTAACGCTCTCTCTCTTATTGCCGTCTTTGATTTTGAAATTAGCCGATGATCAATAAAATGCAGCTCTTAACTGTTGCTTTCGGTGACGTGCACTCCATTAAATCTGCATATAGCACAGAAATTGAAGATCGGATTTATATCCGTTTTGCAAAAACACATATGTGACTAGGTGTAAATGGAATCATTTTCATAAATCAGAGCTGAGAAAACGCATGAACTGGCCAGGTGTAAACAGCCCCATAGACTGCCATAGGAACTTTGGAATGCGGAAGTAATGCGTGTTGTGTGGAGCAGCCAATAGTTCCAAACACTGATAATTCCAGCATTAAACAGAAATTAACTTTCCAAGGTACGCTCGCAGGTAAGTTAATGAAATTACTGTATTTTTACTTTTACTCACATTAGCCGACGTCTCGTGAATCTAGTCAGTAGTTATATTTTATATAGCCAGTTTTAGTTAATGTTTATTGGAAGCTGCTATAATTGCAGCTATAACTTACTCAGGGTTCTCAAGTCTCACGCATTGGCCGTGAGACACACGCATTTCGACCGGTTCACACGCGCACACGCCACACTGTGTATTTCTCACGCTGAAAAGGCAATGCCAACCAAGTTGTCCTGGCTGAAAGCTTTCTAACGTTGTATACGAGGCGCAGGCAAACAAAGTGAAGTTTCCTGCCGCCAGCGCGTATCTCCGCCAGATTGCGTTCGTTACTAGGCAACATATATGCGCGCTGCGTGCACCACTGATCTATACATGACATGTCATTCAGTAGCGCGAACACACGGAAATGGACGGAACATCCTCGGCCACCGTACGTTCGTTACTAGGTAACCAACAACATCGCGCGAACACATGTGTCGTGATGGAGAAGAAGGTAAGTTGGAAGAAGCTCGTCTAACATTTTTGGGCTAGAACATTTAATATGTAGCCCATCGTACATTATTATTGATGCTGTCAAAAACTCTACAACTACTTTGCAACCAGGCTCAGTTTGGCTATCTTACGTTATCTGAAACTAAGAGAAATATAGTGTGGGTATGGAAAGGAATGAAGATTTACTGATTTTATTTTAAATTATATTATACTGTAATATTAATAGTCTTTCTAGTTACATTAAGGATGTATTACAGCAGATTGCTCTGGGTAATATTTAATAATTGTCATAATGTTGCATTTGTATTTTTCAAAGATGTCAGGAAAAAAGCAGAAAGATATTTTGTCATTTTGGGCACTAAAGGGTAAGCCCCCTAAAAAGGTTGCCAGATTAGAGGACGAGACAGTGGAAGAGGTGGTGCACTCTAATCTGTCCATTTGTTCTCAATGTCCCACCACACAATAAATCATTCGTCTAGATAGAAGACACATTCAAAAATCAAAATGCAATTTTTTAAGATTTGTTTGAAACTGTTTGGAGCAATTTGTTATATTTTTGGTTAGCTATATTTGTAATACTGCATTAAAGAGTATTTGATGTGATGAATTGCTCTGTCATTTATCAGATTTAATAATTGTTATAATTTTAATTTGTTCCGGTTAATTATGAACAATGGGTAAAATTTGGGGCGGAGATGGGTGGGGCGGGGCTTCATTATGGCTCCTCCCCTAACCGCATGTGATCTCACTCCAAGCTTTTGCTCAAACTTGAGAACCCTGAACTTACTTGACCAACACTTCACTAACTAGTGATGCACCGATGTGAAAATTGTGGTCGATACTGATAACCTTTATTAATACTGCTGTTATGGCCGATATTTACTGATGTCGATATCTCTGTAAAGAAAACATATAGGGAAGATTAGGGTTGCACGACATTGGTTTAAAAAAAAAGACATTGCAATATTTCTTTTTTCTGCAATATATATCTGCAATATATATTGCGATGTAAAAACAATTTCACCAGATGACTTGAAGCTCAATTTGTAAAGAATGAATCATTCTAGATTGACTGGGGTGGTTTTGTCATGGAGTAAATCCATATAGAAACTAATATAAATAGAAGGGTTAACTAATGAAGTTAACTTTCACTCTCTGCTCGTTCTCTCAGTTAAACATCTGCATCACTCACCAGTCAAATAAGGCTTTGGCGGGACAAAAATACACCTTAAGCCTAGTTCACACTACATGATTTTAAAACGTCGGGCTGAACTGTGCGGTTCACACTACAAAACTTGCTCTCAGTGAAATCAGGAGTGTTCAAGTTTTTAGCTGTTCACACCACACAACACAACGTGATTGATCCACAACAGGAGGTAACTCACTACACGAGTTGACAACGCACTGCATAGAGATACAACCACGATTGGATGATAAGAGCAAATCATTTGTGACTCAATGAGAGCTGTTTCAGTACTATGCTACGGTCTAAATCCTGAAAATAATCAAACAAATAACGAGTTGACAACAACTCTGTCACTCAACGATTTTATCTTGTCTACAAACCACGTTTTGTCACGAAAAAACACGCAGTAAATAAATAAATATTGCGCCAATTATACCCAGCGAAGAAGAGAACACAACACGTGAATATGGATGTCAGACAGAAACTAGTGCTGCACACTGTTTGCGCTACGATCTTCTCTGAGGAAAGAAATGCAAAAAAAAAAAAAGAGAAGATTTACCTGGTGTCCTCAACCTATGCGTTGCTATGATTGGCTGTACCCATGACATCACTGAGTTTAAATCGTGCAACGGCTCTGGATATCTAGCAGGCTAGATATTTTTCTGGGCTCGGCGACGAGTCTGTGAGGCATCTGCGAGCGTTTTCGCTGCGTTGTTGGCTCTTTCATACTAACAGATTGGCAAGCGTTCATCGTCCGCTAATCCCCCGCGATTTGCACGCGATAACACCCTGACCTGTCGGCGACTCAACGATTTGCAAATCGGGCATAAAATCCTGTAGTGTGAACTTGGCATTAGTAAGGCTGAAAGAAAACAGCGGGCAAGTTCTAGTCTT